TGCACTTTAAAATCCCAAATATCAGAAGGCGAGGGCAGCATGTTCACAGGGTTGTGTGGTAGAGCCTGGTTTACTTTCCTGTTCATTGATTTTCCAGCTGCTTCTTGAATCAAATTGTTGATTTCCAGCTTCCTGTCTTGATAGTCTGAAATGTACGAGTGATTACAGTCTCTCAGAAACCATAAATAGCAGGAGTGACGCACATTCTCTGTCAAATGTCAATTTTATGTGACATGCAGTTTAAACTGTTTTCCTGCTCTGAACATCAAATTACTGCATTGGATGTATGGTAGAAAATAAAAAACAGAACTATGACATCTTCTACTTTATGGTTTTGTCTCTAACATTTTGATTGTCCTGTGCATGTCGCAGTGAGCAATTTTGCTTCAAACACACAAATAAACCCTCAACCTCTATATGTGGTGATTGTAATGATAAAAGCATCAGAGTAGCTTGATATTTATATACATATGGTTTAGAAATAAAGCATTCAACAAAGCTAGATTTCAGCCTTCATTGATAATACATCCAAGTTATAAATGTCTGGAGGCCAGTACTGAAGGAAACCTTCTCTAAGTGTTGATTGTGGTGCCCTCTTTGTAGAAAAAGGTACCTCTTATCTCTTTGCTGATCACACCGGTTGCCGGGCTGTAAATTGCTTTTTCTGACACTGATCAATTGGCTCTAATAAAAGGCGATAACTGATCTCCTCGCTGATGGTCTTGTTTGCTTTGGTAGGTCATGTAGAGAACTCTGTTTTAATTTGAGACTATTTGATAAAATCCTCACAGTTGGTAAAAATAGTCTTTAGGCAATGCAAAAATACTCTACTCCAACCTGTTGCATTGGACGCTTTATCAAAAAATAAGTACTCATCATAATACAAACAACAGCCGGTGAGCATGTTGAGATCAAGCTTCAGCCTCCAGTGATGTCATAGAAGCCAATGCAGAAGTGGAAAATATGCAGTTCCTCGAGTTTCCACTTGAGGCTGGCTCCAAAAACCAAGTAATCCATTTTAGAGCCCATATTTAAAAAAAAAAGTTTTTACAGTAGAAATAAACACGGTTACAGCCAGGTACAAAAACAGTTATTGTCTCATAGCTTATTACCATATAAGTATTAAACTGTAAAAACTCATCACTTTTGATTATATCAAGGCTAAAGCCAGATATGAATAATTAAGCAAACAACGGGCTAACTAACTCGTAGGCATGTTGTTGCTGTTTGCCTGGATGCAAGGCCTCCCTTTGGTCAAATGACTGTTTATGTTGATATTTATGTTGTTATTCAATGTTTCATTTTTATTTTGAACTACTTCCTTACAAATGTAGCTGAGTGAAAATTGTATTGTATTTACTCCTGAGTTTTTGTGGAATAGGTGTATATATTTAATGTACTTGACCACTGCTGGACCAAAGCTGCATCATACAGGCAGTGGCGATTCAAGAGTCTGTTGGGGCCCTATAGGCAAACATGTATTGTGGGCCCCTCCAACCACCATTGTGCTGTTTTCACTCCCAGATAGAAAATTCCTCTTCATTTTACTTGAGTGATTTTTTCAGCAATAATGCATGAGATGCTTAGCAGGGCAACGAGAGGGAGTGCTGACAGATGGGTCGCCCTTAGGGAGGTTTCCTACAGTCATTGCAAAATTTTCACAGTTTGAACTACTGCTGTGGTTTAAAGTTTGTCAGACCTTGGAGGTCCCTTACTGGCCTGGGGCCCCAAGCAGTTGCCTGCCTGGCCTGTTGACAAGCAGCGCCTCTGCATACAGGGTTAACAGATTCTCACGCTGCCAGTGACAGTGTCACTGTCATGTGAAACAAGACAGACTCAAACAACCAACTTCCCTTAAACCAGTTTTAAAGTTGGGGAAAGGCTACATCATAAATACAGATTGTTTTTCAGTGTTTACATCAGTGGTCCACTTGAGGAAATGAGCACCAAACTAGCAGTCAAACTTTCTTCCAGATTGGCTGTATAAAAGGGAGCTAACGCTTAAAGTGAACAGCTGGACTCACTCTAAGTCACAATGATGCAACATAACGCACCAGTGCATTGTGTCCCTGTCAGGCAGCACAATTCCTGTCATGAATCAATTTATCATGCAAATGGAAAACCCTAACAGCCTCTGACCTTTCTCAACTGCCAGTAATTACAGGCAATTTATATTAGACAAACATAATTTACGGACAGAGCAGGAGATGCAGGAACATCTAAGAGCAAGTTTATTCCCACAGGCTGCGGGCCATTTATTGAAGCATTTCTCGAGGTCATTTCACAGGAAGAATGCTCATGTTTTTAACCTTAGCAGATGTCTTACATGCTCTTGCGTCCAAGTTGTTGGCTTGTTTTTATTTCACAGATATTCAAATGAACGCCTATATGCTTTGAAAGCAATCAGCATTGTTAAATACAATGATAAAAAGGTGTTTGCCTCCTGATGAAGTGCAGCCCAATCAAACAGACTGCAATCAAAATGCTAATGAGCACTGTATATGAATCTGTACCGAATCTCCACACCTCTGTTATGTACAGAGATATGACAAATCACTCAAATGAACAATGAACTGTCTTTTCTCAGCCTCTGAGCAGATCTGTATCAAAACAAATTGGATTTTGGTTAACCCTTGAAATCCCACAAAAGACGGAGATACTCAAGTTGATTGAGTTTGTAACACATTAAGACTGTTCTTTTTTTAAATCCTAATAGCTATCTACATTGATAATATAAACTGATGTATAAATGTAAGACTTCAACAGTGGTAGCTACTGTTACCTCTAACAGTTAGAGATGGGAAAGCTGTCAAGTTTAGAGCAAAAGGGAAACTAGATGATCTTAAAACAAGCTTAAAATAGCCAAAGCTGTGGGGAAACTCATAACAGAGGAGGGAGGGATAAGGAAAAACTCTATGCTGGTAACCCAGTGATGGAAAACCGGCTGGCCTCTAAGGGAAAAACCATCACTGAGTCTCCTCCCATATGTGGTGAATTATCTCTCATTTCCCAAGCTACTTAAAGTGATTGGAAATCTCACCCCCCAATTTCTTTCTGTGGCCTTGCACCCCATGTCGGCCAGCTGAATCCTTCCTGTGTGCAAGAAGATCTGTAGGGACACATCAAGGCTAAAGTTGGAGACTCATTACCTCCCAAATGTAACGCATGACCCTGTGTCATGAGCTTATCCCTTTGCTTCTGCTCCCTCATCTCCCTCAGGGTCCTCTTCAGTGTACTTTGCTTTTACTTGGAGCTTGGACATTGTGCTTTGATTGGAACAGTTATCTGCAGCTATAAATAGCCTACTATAAATGGGCAGTGGGCGCGTAGGCTAACAGCAGCATTGTCTGTATATTTGGTGAGTCACTGCACATTGAATGTGACCGGCTGAAGGGGCATAGTCTTTACACACATTGTGGAGAATATGTTCATGAGTTTATTCTTACATTTGCCATCTCATTTCCGGTACATTGTTTTTGTAACATTGCCCTCATCTCTTTTGCTAACAGTAGTGGTGAACTGCTGAAAATGTAATTGTTTTCTAGTTTACTCTACAAAAGTATTGTAGCTCTAACCTTGGAGATAAAAAGAAATCCAGCTGTTGAGATTCACAGAGGTCTGCTCTACTCAGTCATATGCTACGTTTTTATAATTCTGAATCTTTGATTCATTATTCTATTTTCAAAAATGAACATTATGTCAAACAAAATGTGACCACACTTTCCCTAAACTGTTACTGATAATACAATGTACACCAATTAATTACAATGGTATGCTTAAACACTGATCAACATCAGATTGACATTTATTAATCTATCTGTTACCGTCTGTTTTAACATTTTTTTAGTAACAAAAAAAGTGCTGTCATTTTTTGTTTGTTTCAGTGTCAGAGTTATGGATATATGTCAATGTCATGATCAAAGGGCTATTCAACTTAAAACTGAAGGAATTATTTTAGGGAATTACAATACAGAGGAACTGTAAAACCACAAAAACTTAAGACTTTCATATAATTATCTATAACGATTATTTACAAGGTGTTACAAGTCCTGAAAATATTTTAAAAAAACAACGTCATTGTTTTAACATTTACTACCACATGGTTTACTGCTTTTAAAAATACATTTAAGTACCTAGATGTCTATCATATTTCGTTTCACTCAATTCTTCCTAACATAGCATAAACACCATTTCAGCCAGACAACTCACGTTGGCGCTTGTTGAAATATTTATTGCAGCAGCAGAACATAGTATTTGTTTTCTGCCTGTAGGCTCTGACAACATTACCCCTTGCAGTTTTTTTTAATAATAAGATGATATCTTCTACCCTCCAGTCGGAGCTTACAGGTGGTTGCTGTGGTGGTGTTGTTGCTGTAGTGGTGGGGCTGAGTGCAGTACAGGTGCAGGTCATAGTTGGCAGAGAAAGAGACATAGAGCAGAGGAAGAGACCGGAAATCTTGCAGCTTAAATAGACAGCCAATTAGAAGGAGGTATGGTCAGGTGGTTGTGGATAATGAGACATGTTAAGTGTGAAATCAGTGCAGCTCAAGCTGTCTGCCTGAACTAGCTCGTAGGCGTCGCCTCATAACCCATACGTCTGATTTTTTTACAGTCCTTTGTTGCTGTCATAATGTTTTCAGTCCATTTTTTACTTGAACTTCATTTAAAAAGACAAGGCCTATGGTGTGTGCCTAGCTAGTACACTTCAGGGTCTCAGATGGGGGTTTGAAAATATTAAATATTCATAAATATTTTTTATCTCGATATTGCTACTTTTTGCTCTAGTTTGGTCTCCACATACCCTTGAATTTGGGACTTTTTGGAATCAAACTAGGTTTGAAACAAAAAAAGTATCCCAGAATCTGGGGCATAGACTTTAGCCTGTGACCTATGAGTTTGAAATTGGGGTTTTTGCATCACAAACAATTTGACTGTCCACTTGTTTCTCCTCACAGCCGCACAAACAATAATCTAAAATTGATTAAACTTGTCACAGCACATGGGTGAAAATAAAACATTTATTCAATTTGTCTTTTGTGAAAGAGAGATTAGTTTGTCCGACAATGCTGGCTAAATGTCATCCAGTAGACCTTCCATGAGCTATTTATAGCAACACTTTGGTCTGAATATAGCTCTGCTTGCCTGTGAGGTCACCTGGGTCAGCATTCATAAAGGCTTAATCACACAGACAGAAGCGTGCTGCTAATGAAGTTACTAACATGACATTTCAGGCTGTCTCATTAGATTAAAAGTGTTTTGGTTTGAAATGTAAAAGCAAGTAGGTGAATGAGAGATAACAAATCTATAACCTTGGTATGAGAGGCTAAGATCTACAGTAGAGCTTACATACACTAAGACCTGGATGGATTGAATAACAGAAAATAAAAAATCTGATTTTACAAAGGATGTATAACTGGTACTTGGATCATTGTTAATTCTGCTAATGAGTAAAATTAGATTAAATCTCATTTCAGCATTTACAAGCAGGTTATGGTGTTTTTGAAACCGATATAATAACCAAAAATCAAGGTGACATGTGTAACTAATATTGAATTGTACGTATTGTAACAAAGCATTGATGTTGGGGTAAAAGACAAGATTTTAAGAATTAAGTTGCATTGTTTTTCAGCAGAGTTATGGAACAGTAACAAAAATATAATGATGTTATCTCAATATTTTCACTTGAAAAGGACTATTTTAAAAAATTACATTTTATTTTGCCAATGACTTAATTCCAAAACTTATGCTAATTAACAAAAAAAATCCTTTCCCCCTACAATAACAAATATTCGCTTTAGTAGTAAATAGGTATCAGTCCCAGGCAAATGAAAAGATTCATAGCATTAAAAAAATGACAAACCTCAAACATAAACCAACAATATGCCCCCAGGCACGAGCCCAAGTGCATTACATACATATCTCATATTGACTAGTCTGAAATATGAGTTAATTTTGTTTTGAGGTTTGTGAACATCTGAACTTCAATCAAATTATTGACATATACATGAATTCTTTGACATTCCCCACTCACTTAATGAATTTATTGCCCTGAAGGCCATTGGTTTGGCCCGGGCAGAAAGCTGGACAAACAACACAACCGTTTTCTAATTAGATTGACATCTTCAGGGGAACTCTCTCCTGGTTTGTTTTACTTGGCTGTTTGGGGTTCTGGTAGGAGAGCCTCACAAATACGACAATGAGGATAGTTCCTGAAAAAAAAAGAAAAAGAAACAAAGAACATTTCTATTACTGCTTGTTTGTAAATGTAGAACATGCGTTCTCAAAGAGAACGAAGACGTTTGTTGTTCGTTATGCAGCATTAAAAACGGCCTGCTTACCTATGACTGCAAATGTGCCAAGCAAAATGCCCACCGCAGACTGAATAGTTGGCATGCCCGGCAGCTGCTTGGCTGCCATTTTGCAGTTCCCTCTGACGTTGCAGGGACACACAGTCACTAAACGGAGAGGGAAAATGAAAAGAAAAGGTCAAGATTAGATCTTTTTAATGTCACACCACAGAGAACATTCTTACTTCACAAGAAATGCAACTCATTGAGAGTTTGATTTTTATGGTTTTGATTGATGATTTGGATGAATTCATCTTCACAATGTTCAATTTAAATTAGTAAGGGATTCATTAGGAGAGTGCAGATAATAAATTCATAAAAACTCTGTAAGCTAAACGTATCATAACCTAACCTTTAACTTCAAAACTTCCAGCCGGCTACATTAAAGATTACAACTGCCTAAAACCTGCAGCCTTATTTCTTTCACCATACACTTTATCTCCACCTGTGTATGATCGACTATGTGTTATGTATATACGGTGTCAGCTATCTGCACTGAGCAGAGCACAGTCTTAAGAGAGCGTTGTAATCACAAGACTGGAAAAATCATTTGGAAAGCCACATTGCATCATCATTAAACGAGAGCAGCGCTAGGACAAGCTGGCACACAGAAGGTTGATCTCTATTGATTGTTCCTACACGCTCATCTGCAAACCTCACCGTGCTCACTTCAACACATCAAGAGGAGTGGGTAATACCTGGCAGGTTTATGAAGGTGCTCCTGGGAGGAGAGCTGCTGTCAGAGATGGTGAAGGGCACCGTGTAGACCTCGGGGGCCAGGTATGGGATGTTTAAAGACAGGTTGGTGTGAGTATCTGGAGGACAAAACACTTAAATGACGGTCCAGAAAATATGACAGGAAACATTTGACTGTTGAAATGTACACATTAGACTAAACATTTTAGCTTCTTTTGATTATGTAACGAGCTTGAAGTTGTCAGAGCTCCTTTTCGGAAAACAACTTTCACTTCTGGAAACCGAGATAATAATGATGGATTTTAATTTCTTGATCAAAAATGAAGCAACATATGACAACATATAATAGAAAGACCCTGAACAAAAAGGTCTATTCACAAATATATGCCTTGTCCGATCTATAAATCAGCGCATCTAATGTAATTCTCATATTTGCCTATCTTTGATTTTAATAATAATTTATTTAATTTATATAATGCTTTTCAAGCGACCCAAGGTTATTATTGAAACTATTGAATGAAGTTTACCTACCATGCTGTGTCAAAGCAAAATCCACCAATAAGCAGCTCAATGATTGGTTCAGGTTTCAGTATTGTTGTTTTTAATTCAGGCTTGCAATAAAAAAAAAACCTTCTTGTAAAACACTACTCTTGAGTGCCATAATCCAGGACATCACAGATAAGTAAAGCAAATGGTGAGAGAGTGTTAAATTAAGCTAAAAGCTTTGTAACATTTTATAGAAGACAACTAGAAACATGTCAATATCTTAGCTCTATACAATCATCCCATGACACTTCATGGTTTCATAATAAGCAAAACAAGAAAAATACATGCACACAAATGTAACTGCAGAGAGGCTGGTGAGATGGAGCTGTGTATGCAGAGTGTGTGAGTCTTTATCTTATCTTTGTAAATCAGGCTAAAATACACGCCTGGCTGCATGACGTAAAAGCCTTGTCTTGTAAAGAGAAGTGGTTTATCAAGCTGTTTGAACTCTTATCTGAGGGTCTTAAACTCCACGCTCGCACCTCACCATCATCCCCCTTCATGTTCCATTTGTCAGTGACACACCAGCTCAGCAGCACTTCTGCAGAGCCTGTTAATGTATTTATTCTCTGATCTGCTCCAATAGGACTTTCTCTCTGAGACCACCTACCTACCTGAAACTATGCTTACATGTTTCTTCCTATACATTACAGTTTTGTAAAAATACTTTATTGCTACTAAGGGACATATTTTGTTTTCTAAGTTTGCTACACTCAATTTCATATGTGCCTCCTGCTCTGAACATTTTATTTGGCCAGATTGAGATTTTAAAACATTTTAAATTAATTTTCAGCCCAGATTGAGGCGAATGTTATTACATAGTTAGCAGGAGACTGGATGTTTCACAGTTATCTCTTTACTGCTATGAACAGTGATTAACACTGGAGGTAAATGGAACAAGCGTGTGCCGCCTCATTAGCTGAATTGAACTTCTGCAGTGAAAGGAACTCGCAATTATATGAACTTGGTACACTTGAGTGCTTTTGAAAGACTTCAAATGAATAACAATGACACACGAACACACATGCGTGCGCACAAGTTTCTTCTTTTCATGACAGGTTGTGGTTTTTGTCTCAAACTGTGCAAATCTGCTAGAAGACATTATACAAGCAAAAGTACATATCATTGGTACAGGCATTACTGGTTGAGACCAGGTGCAAAGCATTCTGGGAGACTCCTTTTTTTAGCCTCCATTAGCTGGCAGGAACCCAGCAGTGACGCCAAAGAAATTACACAGAAGATATAATTACAGCTGGGCTCAATCAATACCAACAGGAACAGGGGAGTGAAAGAGGGAGATAAAAAAAAAACCCTGAGAGGGAAGTGGTTGAACTGTTTGAATGACTTAATGACAGACGTCATAGCGGGGGAGAGTTTGCATCAAAGGAGCCCAATGCTAGCAGTGTACAACTGCGAAAAAAAAAGGATAATTACAATTTACCTCTGATCCAAGAAAGGACTCGAGAAATTACGCAGAAGAAAATAGAACAGGGCAATTTGCACATCTTTAGGGCCAGATCACTCTGTTTCTTGAACTGTCTGTACTCTTGGATGGCAAATTTTCATATTTTAATTTAAATATGTTATTGCAACTCAAAACACTTAGCCCAATGTGGACAACTCAGTGCACTTTGGTTGTATTTAAAAAAAACAATTAGTTAGTAATGTCACAATGCCCTGCTTTGTGACTGGGCGACCTCAACCTGTCATCTCCAGTAACTTAACCTCTCTTCATTATTTAGAAGCAGGCTACCCTAAAACAAAGTTAAGTATAACGCTCATGTACCCATATTTAACCTTCTTAAACTAACAACAACATCTGTACAATTTAGAGGGTACAAAACTTAAACGTTGGGATGGATTAGTGGAATCCTCAATCCAGGCTCTAATAATGATTTAAAAAAATGTATTTTTGAAAATCAATCTCAGTTTATTCAATCTACCAGGTCAATGTTGAGATAGGAGTAAGGACATCTGCTCTGAACACACACTGGCATGGCGTTACTTCGATGTTCTCTCTTTTCACTGGGAGTAGGTCAAGTAATCCTTTATGCTGTAAATTGACTGGGTTCACTTGGTCTTTGTTCACCTTACCATTAATAGGTGTTAGCTTCCAGTTGCGTCTGACAGTGGCGTCACTGCGCAGAGAGAAGTTGAGTCGCCCTCCATGCTGTGGCCCGTCGCTGTCTCGTGATGCCAGCACCAGAGCTTGGTCCTCCCAGCGAGGCGTGCACAGGTACTTCCAGGAGTAATCTCCAACCAGCACTGGACTATTGTCGTTCACATCCAGGATCTGCACGGTCACCAGGGTGGAGGCAGATAAGGAGGAGTTTCCTGAGAATCACAAGAAATTAGATATTTAAGAAAATGCTGCGGGTTCATTGTACAAATCTGAAGGTTGTATTTTTGTTTCTGAATGATGTTATTGCATCAAAATGACCCCGTGGTGCCTTCACTGTTACTGTGATGCTAAATCTACCTCTTTGGTCTAATCTTCTGCATCATTTATGGATTGCCTGGACTCACAGAATGTGTGCAGACATATGCCCTTTGTATGCGTGGGCATTTTTCTTGCTTTGTTCTGTCAATGTTTTGCAGTATTTGCAATTAGATTGGAGATACATACATATTGGATTATTGCATTTTAGGAACTTATCATATTTCACATTTAAGACAATACTGTATAAACATCTAAGGATTCATTTATAAAATTAGACATTTTATCCTCAAATTACATTAAATTAGGTACCTCAAAACAGTATGTTAAAAACAAACAGGATGTAATGTTTGCCTATGCATTTACCCCTTGAATTAAATAATGTTGTAGCATTTGTATTGATGATGAAAGCCATCTTACTTCCATCTACTGCAATGACCTCCATGGTGTATGTGCTGTTCTCTTCTCTGTCCAAGGCCTGCACAGTCTTCAGTTCACCAGAATACTTCCCTATTGAAAAGTATTTCTTGGTGTCGCCTTGTAGAGAATATCTGCATGGAAAACATAACCAACAACAAAAGACCTGTTACTGTCTCTGTGACTCCACTATCATACATCATTTACCTACATTTCATTCCTAAGCTATTAGTCTTACCTTATTGGGTGAGAATCAGGGTCATAACCTCGAATGGTGGCGATAACCCGTCCTGGTTCCTCGCCCTCTCTGACGGTCACCTCATAATGGCTCTGAGACAGGATTGGACCTTCATTTACATCGTCGACGTAGATGGAGACAGTCGCTGTGGATGCAGGTCCGTATCGACCACGGACCAGAGCCACGGGGTTCTGAGCACTGATCACGAGGATGTACTCACTCTCACGCTCAAAGTCCAACACCTGTGAAAACAATCGTACAAACAAATAATTAGACAAATACTGCACACACACAAACACAAATAGATTGATTAACATTTGTACAGATTTTGTTTAAACGTGATGTGATGTGGTGAATTTAAAAGTAGAGCCGGATCGCGGCGCCTTTACAGCAAACTTTTTTTTGTCTGTGACTGTTCAGTTGTGAGTCTCAGAAACAAAATAATACTAGATCTGGGCCATTTTAATCGAATCAAATTTAGAACATAAACACTGCTGAACCAAGCTGTAAATGTTCAAAAATAAAAGTCATACTCCAAGATTAATATAAATGTCCAACAGCTTACCACATGGACGGCCCATATGTTCTCAGGTGCCAGGATTGCGGGAATATCAACGAAAAATAAATCAATAATCTGTGGCGCATTGTAAATTACTTTACTGTAACTTTATTGTGAGCTAACAATGCATTTTGCCTGTAGATTCCTCAGGTTGTATTACTGATTTAATTTTCATATTCCAAGACATTGCAGGGTTATCCGAGATATTTTTACCTAATGAGAGGTTCAATGCTGCATGCGAAACGTCCAGGGACAAAGAAACTGGCCTGTCCCAAATGTGCCCTGCACACCTTACTGCATATTTCCTTAACACATTAGCCAGCACAGCTTTTAATGGTTGAAAAACAAAAATCATTTAGAAATGTCCATGATAGTGTGCCTTTCCAGAAAATTCTATCTGATTAGTTAATACACTTCACCTTTGGTAGAACATCAATTCTAATGGAAACTGCTGATAGTGCCATCCACAGTGACCAGAACGATGTTTCTCTTACTTAGTTTTTCGAAGATAATTTTCAGTGGACTGAATGAACATAACCAGCCATCTTCACTTAAAGTACCACCCAGGTTTAATGGGAAATTACACATTTTAATTTATAGAAACTTTTACTTTAGAGAAAGTATCAATAGAACGTCTCAACTATGACAGAAAATTACATAACTGAAGAGAACTGCAATTTCTTTGGAATCAGTTCAATCTAAAAGATACAGTCACACACAGTAAACAACAACATCAAAGAAACAAATAAAAACAGCATGTCATCTTTTCCAGCAGCAGAGGGACACAGTGCAGTCCCCTGTGTCCGGTCCTCTTATCTTTCTTCCAAGAAACTGGATTTACTGGCAGAATTTTTTTGTATTTCCTTTATAAACCAGACACGTGGTCACAGAGAAATAAAACTGATTCACTTAAAACAAATACTACTTGACAAAGCTATAAATTCCCCCTGTAGGAGCTGGATTTAATGTTGAGCTGCTTTGTATGACCTAAAGGCCATGATGTGTCATTGGTGTTCAATACTTACATTGTTGATAGTGAATGAATGTCAAGGTCAGATAAACATACAAATCCATCCATAAACAACACACCAACTTCTGTTTTACATGTGCTATTTTTGGGTCCAACATTTAACTGAAAAATTGGGAGTACAGATTTCAAAGGGGGATTAGTGTAATCTGGACACTAAAAATAGTAACAGTATTTGGAGGATTAAATACGTAGTTCAAAGTGAGGGTACAGGAAGATTAAAAACAGTTATGAGACTATGATTTGAAGACTTATACTGAATACTCGAGGCCAGCTTATGAAAAGACGGAAAAATAATAATGGATTATAACTGTAAGGAATCTGATAAATGTCTAAAATCTTCCTTTGAACGTATGTTTGCTTTTAGTATTTTTCCTCAAACGTGTTCTGTCGGCACATTAAAAACTAGACATTTTTTTAAAGCAACGCTGTATGACATCACGCGGCTCAGGCTGAGTGCGTCTCTGTTGCCATGGAGAAGAAACGCAGGCCTTGGAGGGTGCATGAGGGCCGCTGGTGACTGGAAGTGACGCATCACACTACTCAGGGTGTGATCAGTGTACCAGAACATGTGCTTGGACACATTTCTCTAGCTCTCTCTCTCTCTCTCTCTCTCTCTCTCTCTCTCTCTCGGCTATCATCATTTGAACCACTCTTTACTAGAAGTCACATGGCCACAGTCAGGATGACACAATTTGGGATTATTTCTGGAAACCTTTATTCTAAAATATAAATAAAGTATTAGTGAAACATTATCATTGACCTCACCTCATCTTCACTGTTAAGAAAGGGAATCATGCCTTAAATGGTTCTGATGAACATGAAACATGTTAAACCCTTTTTACTTTAACTATTTGTCTTGCTTGTGTCTTTTTGCACACATATTGCAACGTGTCTACAAACTTACTGAATAGTTTATAAGAAATGTCTTTTGGTAAGTGTGTAGGCCTATTCGGTTGGGATTTTACAATTAAAATTGATGTTAATTTTAAGATACAAGTAAGGGACAAAAAACACCAACATAAGAAACAAACAAACAGCCAACTTAGTAAATTTAGGGACGTGAACAACTGTAAATGATTGTTGGTTTATTTGTATAAGCTGTCCATAAGAATATTTTGAGCCCTTTTGAGCCCCCTCTATAACGTTTATGATGTGAGTTAAAACACTTAACATCTCTCTGATATGAATCAATCTTCTTACATATAAGATTTGCATTTCTAACTGATGACTCACATGTTTCATTCATTATTCATGAGTATGGATTAAGGACAGATTTGCTTCTCTCTTTAATTTATTCACTGTTAATATAACATATGGCAATGATACATTTAGTAGTTGCTCCACTTTTTTTTGTCTTTAACAACATTATTTTTTAGAAATGATGTAATGTCTCCACTTCCTAATTTGATTCCCCTCACTTCTCACTGGTTCATTACACATTCACCTCAATGGGCAGCCTCTTGCCTGTGTGGTAAACTGCCATCAGTGTCTGCTCATGAAATCTAATTATTCACTTGGGCTCTTAGCAGTGTGTAATTTCTAATAATGAAATGTGTCTGCCTCCTGGTGCTGACCTCACACTGTAACGCCATGAATTAAAGGATTTTCTCAAATGCATTTTAATCCACTGGAGCTGTACTTGTGAAGGATTTAAGCTTTCATTTTTTACTGAAGTGAGCTAAATAAACAACAGTATCCCTTCTGGTGATTCAAAGTTAGTTACAGCCGAGGTCAGTGCAAAAACTTTAAACACAGCTACTTAAAGAAACACGACTTGCGTCTGTGTTCTCCCATTTCTAAGGAACAGCAGTCCTTGCATGTTAATCTGAAATAATACAGGATCCATTTTTAGCTTTTAGACATCTCCTGCTTTATCTCAGCAGAGCATGAGCAACTCACAGTTCAATCACATTCAACTCCCACAGAGAGGTTGAAAATAATAGACTGTCTCCTGCCTGGCCCACTTACAGAGAGCAGACCATTAGAGTACATAAAAACACACACACACACGCACACACACACGCACACGCACACGCACACGCACAAACACACACGCACACACACACACACCACACACAAACACACACACACACACACACACACACACACACACACACACACACACACACACACATACACAAGCAAACTTATTCCCCCATGCATCTCTAAAACATCCTGCTGGATTATGAGAGACAGGTGAAGGGTGATGCGCCCTGGGGATAGGAGAGATTATTGGGCTATAATATGTCATTGTCATCTGGACTTTTTTATTTTTTTATTTGATGCAGGTGGAGCTGAAGTCGTTTTGTAGTATTCTTTCTCAACCTGTCTGTCTGAGTCTCAAACATACAGTACACTCTTTGATATTAAAACCATGTACTCATTACAAATAACTGAGTTATATACGTCCGCTGTTTTGTACATAGTAAACCTTACAAACACTGAGGACAGTTAAAAGCCATCATGCCAAAGACTGTCCTTGACTTTATTCGTTTGCCTGAAAGAAGGGATGTGTTGCTGTGCTTTGACATACCCTCAACATGTTGAAGAAAACACTTAACATTTTAGTTTATTACACTTAGAAGGACATTTCTGATCTGAATCTTTTTAGGGGCTGATCTAGTTATCAATTTACTCTATTTACACTGTGGTCTTTAAAATCAAGCTCAAGGTTAGAAGGAACAATGTTGTAATGTGTTACTGTGTTAATCAAGGTATTTTAGAGAGATAAGGTTAAATAACTTTTTGTCTTGTAAATGTACATTTCGTATCCTTATGCAATTTATTTGATTTTGACCTACTTTGTTACTTTTGCTACCTTAGTGAAGGGCTTTGTAACTTGGATTTTAAAAGTTCTTTATAAAAAGACTGTAATGCTGTATTAAATGTTTGTAAAGTGTATAGAATCGTATAAATTACTACAATTTAACTGCCTCTTTAAATAAAAAAATATACAGTATAATAATTAAGATGATAGGGAAGATCTAGAAGGACACCAACTATATTTCAAGAAAAACACATTTTATACAAGTACTGTAGCTGCTATCATTACAGTAACCTTAAAATGTACACCTTCCTCAGCACATCAAACAATTAAACTGTATGAGCATAAAAGCAAGGTAAGTTCTATAAAAAATCGTCCTTTGGAATATGGTCATGTGTCTCTGGATTTTTACCTTTATTTTCCATTTAGTTACCTATTAAAGTAAGATGTAATGACAAGTGAAGAAATGATTTGACTTGTGAGATCCCCTACCTTTATATAATATGCTAATTGGAATACACCAGTACAACATTATACCGACACCTGAGCTTCACATTTCCCCATTCGGGTGTGCACTCAAATAAAACTCTTCGCCGCTGTGAGTGTATTATTTACCTTTGAAAGGACGAGTGAGACCTCGTTGGTCTGCTTGTCAGTCACTAATGTAAAGGCCTCTTCCTCATTTCCCGACTCCAAACGATAGTCCACCTGCCAGCTGTCTCCCCCTCGAACATCTGCATCCCCCGCCAGCACAGCTGTAACTGTAGTGCCCACTGGAGCGTTCTCTGGGATGTGAAAAGGCCCATACTGACGGAGAGGAAAGGCAAAATGGAACAATAACACGCTAGCGATAACATATTTGCAAGGGAATAAAGTAAATGAAAAAATAGTATTGCGGGTAAAATGATTTCCAATATTAAACTTCAGATTGACCTTTGTTGAAATTTTTATTTTCTACAAAACCTTTCTTTATGTTCCTTACAGACACTGGATGTCCGGCATTGATCCTGATATGTATAAAAGATACACACTGGAGGCAGGACAATTTAAATTGGACAATAATGCAATAAATACATGCTTAACTAAACAGATTAATTAAAAAATGTAATTCAATATTATATCTGCTTGAGACTTGATGATAAAGTAACTGACTGACATGTACTTTTCTATGCTGTTGTGACACAATGTGACTACATGTGAGTATATGTTTGCCCCCTCTTGCCCTGACGGTGTTGGCTAAGCTGTATTCACACACCTCAGTGTGTTTGGACAGCCGTTTAATCTGCCACTCTCACATGTCCTCTGGTGAAGCAGCCACGGCTCTGATCTGGCTGCCCCATCCACAGGGTCGCTGAACCCAGCCCTGTCACCACTCGCCTCCCACTTCAGCCTCCAGCAGTGCTGCCTTCTCATTGCCATGGAAAATGCGGCACTTCTCAGGCGTGACCTACTCAAGAGCATTTTCCACCTCTCTCTCTCTCTCTGTGTCTGTAATTGTGTGTGTGTGTGTGTGTGTGTGTGTGTGTGTGTGTGTGTGTGTGTGTGTGTGTGTGTGTGTTTTTGGAATGATTATCAGAACATTCGTTTGTAACAGCTTGGAAATGGGCAGCAATTTCTTGAGAGCCAAATGATTAAAATCCTAGTGCCAATCAAATGGAGAAAGGACATTTAGAACACTATGACAACAGATGTTTTATAAGATATATATTGTACAATATCTTTTTTTTTTTATCTCTTATTGGTCTGGTCAGTCATTCCAAAGCTCTGCAGCCGGTTTTCCACTGTCCAATTTAAAGGAGATGCCCTCTCTGCTCAAAATGAAATGTTCCTTCACAGCTCACAAGTGTCACCGCTATACGACAGGGAGAACAGCCAGAGACCAGTTCCCCATTATCACAGCATGATGACTCTCCCACACAACTCCCAGCCCTCACGATATTCTCTCTCTTTTTATATTGCACATGTGGCTGAAAAGTGAGGGGATTTTCTGTAGCTGGCTATATTTAGACTATTTTCTCTTTCATACTGGCAGAATGAGGGAAACCTCTGTCCCATTTCATGCTGGGCCTTTGACTGCAGCATTCCTCTGCTGGATCACTACAAGATAACAATAAAATTCAGACTGAGGTTCCTGTAGTTCACAAACATGCTGTATCACTGTACAGACAGAGATTAAATGTACATGAGGATGTGATACAAATTTCATGAAAAATTCTAAGTTTTAAACTATTCCAAATCATTTTGGAATGATGTGCATTTAGTGCCTTTAAAAGACTTGACAAGAAATGATGGGAGAGCGAGAAGGAGAATGAACTCACTCTTGGTTGGAACAGAAAATTGCATCATTGAATTTTTTTTTATGACCTTATGTTAAAGGAGCAATCTGCAAGATATCAACGGAATTTAATCATAAAATGACCTCACTATATCATCAGACATTAAGGAAACATTCTGTGTTGAAGTGCTGGCTTCTCTGACAACAAACAATGCAGATGCCAGAATGTCCTCCTTCTAAGTTTCGATTCAGGTCCGGAATGGTCTGTTTTTTTTGTTTTCAACAGAGAAGGTAGGCGGTTTAAAAGCACCTCCGCACAGCCGTTTTTGACACCGATCGGTTTGTCAGATATGAGACCAGTTATCACGGCAAACCAACAGGTGTTGCAGCGATGGAAGCAGGCAAGAGAACTGATTCAGATGTACAGTAACTGATTCTATCCGACCTAAAAAGCCTCAGCATATTGGAGGTGCTTTTGAAAAATGGAGGGAGGCTAGAACTCAGAAAGGTTTCAAGACCGATGCAGAGGTGGCTAAACACTGAAGCTTCAGTGTAAAAGACATCGCAACCACATGGGTATCAACTCAAATTTTTGAATTTGGACTGCAGTACCACTTTTAAATGCTACATGTCAGAGTTACTTATTGCTCCTTTAGAGGTTTTAACTTTGATCCTGATTGTAGCATTTATGTGAACAGACTTCCTCAGTAGGCCTAACCTTATCTGTAGTTGTGTTATATTTTTTGCAAGATTTGCAATCCAAGATACATTTTTTTTTTCTTTCTGCACCTTCTATCATTTCCATATTCTAGGTTCACAATATTTAAGTGAAGTTATTCACAGTTTTCCATTCCAGCCCACTTCTCTACACTTTCCAAGTTTATACATTGTCCCTAATTAACCTGAGCCACAGCCTCGCTTTACAACTTCCTCTTGTTGATGTACCTGCTTCACTACCAGCTTCCTCCAATCTCTGGAACCTGCAAAATACCTACAAATGATGAATGTCTAAGTCTAGAGCTGCCTCTACTTCCTGTACTGCTTGCCTAGGGTTGCCCATTTCCTCCCTCGAGTTAGATTTGGGACCACGTTACTAATTAAGTCTTTACTTCCTAATAGCAACAGCTCTGTCATAACCTTTGCACACTCAAACTCATCTTTACAAATATTTATTGGTAGCAGGAGTATCCCATTACCGCACAATGCAACACTACTAAGACAACCAGTCACTCATAACCATTTCCTTATGAATGAATTAACTAACCTCAAGCATTTCCACCTTTGATATTGGCACTTCATAGAAACCCAGAAACTTTTGTGTTCTGTGGAGTTGCAATATGTGAGGCTGAGCTTTTGTCCACAGTGACTCCACAGGTGGACACCACAAGCCAGCCACATAACCGCTGACCACAGCTACTGTTCATGGAAACACTATAAACTTTTTTTTTTTATAGCTACCTCTCAAGCAGGGTAGGTTTAATACAACAAATATTTTCAGTGAAGCGTAACTCCTTTTTTTTTTTACATCTCAAACCGTAAATTTCTTTGACATGGACTAGCTGTTACAACACAGCCTCTTACATAATCTCTAACTTGCTAATGGAATTAAATAACATTGTATTCATAAATTAGGTTAGTCTATAAATAAACAAGTGGAAACTACTCTCCAAAGAAAGATTTATCTGATTATGCTCTAAAAACACAGGGCACTTAAGAGTACAAAGAACTGAATAGAAACTCCTCTAGTAACCCGGTGCCATCATAAGCCTTGGATTAGAGGGTGTATCTAGTTCCCGCCAGGAAAATTAGATCAGTGACCTGCAGAGCGGAATCACGGTCTGCAGTCAAAAAGCCACTAATGATGGCCTGTGATGTTTGGCCGGCCTTTTATACAAAGTGTATTGTTTATCATTTCCTAAGAAGTCTGAGGCATCAGATACGTATTTGTGTGTGTGTGTGTGTGTGTGTGTGTGTGTGTGTGTGTCTTTGTTACTCTTACCTCATGTTGGGAGAACACCGGTGGGTTGTTGTTCTCATCCTGCACCGTCACAACCACAGTGCAGGAGCTGTTAAGACCTTCAAAGGACACCGTCACTGTTAATGACTCAGGTTCAGACCGTCACATGGATAAATAATGCTGAAGGAACAAGAAGTACCTCATCTTGCTTCCATAACACCCTGAACCGTGAGTCACAGAGACCACATCATCTGTCACCTCTAAGGCAAACATATACATCCACCCAAACTATGGTGTCAGCACATATACTGACAAATAAGCTCACATTGCTTAGGTCAAGTCTTATCAAATCTGAAATGTTTTAAGTAAATCAATTTAATTCTTATGTAGTCTAAAGGCCGATCTAGGGACGGGCATTGAAAATAAGCTTAGGCTAGAAATGAGTAGAAACAAGTAAAATAAAAGATAATTCTGTGGCACAATGCTTTCCTTATTCTTAATAAGGATCCTATTAACTATAGGGTCTTAGCAACAACTCTCAGCATTTTTACAAATTTTTGTTTACTGACTGACAATGAATGAACACTATAATTGGCCATTTAGTCAAAGCCCTTACCAGTTGAATAAATGTCAGATTTGAGAGATTTTCAAATTCAGTTCTTAATTTGTTTTTGGCCGGCAAATATGATTTCGCTTATTTGTGTCAGCCTCAAAGAGGAGACAGGGGAGCCACAGTAGCAGTATCAGTCCACAGAAGGACTAAATACATCTAAGTAAAGACAGAGGAAGCAGTCAAATAAAGTCGATAAAATTAAGTTACTCAACCTTTTTTTGTTTTGTGTTTATAGATATACTCGTTGATTTGTGTTGGTTCTAGCAACATAGCAGGAATTTAGTTTTTCATCATTATTTCCCACATAAGCACCACTACAACAACAATTTCATCATATCATTGATAAAACCTCTAAAAATCCAAATAAGGACCATGTTACAGTACAAATTATCATCAAATAGTGACCTGAAATCTAATTTGTGGCAGTGTAGACATCTAGATGTGCAAGTATCTCAACTCTAAGTAAAGCTTTTGATCTTATCATTTACCTTTATAATGTTAAAGCCTATTATAGATAACGTACTGTTTGAAGGTGAGCTTCATTTTAAGAAGAAATATCAAGAACCAATCTAGTTTATTCTTCCAAACATAATTTCCTACCACTGCAACAGGACAAACCAGAAAATAAAACTGAAGAAGTATTCATGTCTTTTTGATAGACCAAATTAGGTTGCAGAAGAGAAAAATCTGAAAATACAGAAGGCTATAATTGTCATCTAGCCAGACTCACCCTTAGCATCTTCAGCAGTGATGGTGAGTGTGTACTGAGGTGCTGTGCCCTCCATACTGTCTGCTTGGACCGAGATCACCCCTGAGTCACGATCCACTCGGAAGAGGGCTCGAGGACTCTCTGGGATTTGTCCAACTAACCGGTAGAAGATGCGCACGTTGTCTGTCTTTGGATCGTCATTATCGGCCGCCTGGACTGTCAGGATTTCTGTCCCTGTGGAGAGATAAACCAGTGAAGAACAATAAAAGAACAGAGTTCCAATTTACGGTCATAAGATCTCTTAAGAAACAACCTCAACAATAACGTTTTGTCAGGCACATTTTTATTTTCTTTGTTTTCTTATATTTTCTTTTTTTTCAGTAACTACTTAACACCTAAAACTGGTTTTCAGACTTGCATTTGTACAGAGAAGAGCCTTGAATTTTGGGATATTTCTCTGTTATAAGTAACAGTCACAAAGCTTATTGAATGTGAAAGGAAGAAAGAAGGGTTCAACAATTGCTTTCTAATTTAATCCTCATCCAGTCATTCCATTTAGATTAACAGATTGTGCAGACTAATTCATTTCCCAGAATCAGCCTTTTCAAATCATCTGCAAAAAAAAAAAAAAAAAAAAGCTTTCATGCCAGGAGCTGATGATGTCAGAACACACTGTGTGCTTTTATGAGCACAGGTAGCCGTGACTGTGCTTTCCCCGTGTATCCTGGCAAAAATCCCAGCTTGCTTTCAAAAAAAATAACGGGCACTCTCTGCCTTTTCATCACTGCACAGTGTACACAAGCCAACGTTTCCTCCGCCTTGTTGTGAGACCATTTTCTTCCAGTAAGTTGAAGCTGTGCCAAAGGTTTAGTAAAAGGTCTCGTGTATCTGTTTCTGGATGTCATGATAGATGCTTAAAAAGTGTTCTGTACAAGTGTTCTATACATTTGGCCATAATTTCAATTCGAAGCCGTGTATGCTATTTATAGCATTCTGTCTTTTTTCCATATTTTGAAGTAGCAAAGGAAAAAAAGAAACATATTTTTTCCCCCTTCTTCCAAATATTGATTAAGTCTGTTAGACTAATATGTGAACAAAGGTAGTAAGAGCTTCAGATAAGTTAGTTACCTCGAGCAGCCAGCTCCTTGACCACAGTGTGATACTGTGCCTGTGGAAAGGTGGGTCTGTTATCATTGGCGTCGCCCACCATCACCCTCAACTCCACAGGCTTCGCAATCTCTCTGCCATCTGGACGCTCGACCACAATACTGATCTGGAACTGCCACCACGAAGACAGAAACATTGTGTTGGCCTCCAGAATATTCAAGAATACAGAATTAAACATGTCTGGTTGGGCAGTTCTATAATCCTGCATTCATGGATCCTGTAAAATATTTTAAAAAATCAATGAAAAGGATTAACTGGGTCTGCAATAGACTTGAAGACTGGTAACCAGAGCAGAGTGATTTCCTACCCGGTGTGTGATAGTATAGGACTCTGCAATTAGGGCTAGTGTGGTAAACAAAGTGGGTGGATGAAAGTGAATCTTTGTTCATCATTCTGCAGGCCCAACACTGTTGCTGTAGTAAACACTATCAGTCAGACACGAGTGTTGGTGCTGTATGAAGAAAGAAGACATTCAGCATTTAGCTGCTCTTCTAAAGGTCCAAAGATGATGAATCATTTCAGGGTTGATGTTGAGTGTGCATCTACAACAGTTTGATCAAAAGCGGTAGCTAGAAGCTCATGTCTGATTTCCCTTTCTGTCTTTTTTGTGCCGGTATACTTTTATTTATGTTATGTACCTTTTAAAAACTACTGGTGCATTTCAGTGTTAAAGGTGAAGAAGATGAAATAGAACATTAGAATATAGAATCTAGAGGGTACCCTATCATGTCTCTCAATAACTCAAGACTACGCTAAAACAATAAAAAGTCAGGTGTACATTTAAAAGTAACTACAGAAGGCATAAACTGTAAAAAGCATGTAATCACATATACTGATGCAGCCCTCAGTCTCTTTGTGTTTTCCGTTGAAAGCTCTCAGGCGCTTTAGTTATATGTAAAAGTAAAATGCAAACAAATGATAATTTCGCTGTTATCATAAATAATGACTCTTCTCTAGATCATGAAGAAAGCGTGTGCTTCAGAATCCCTCTCATGTTGACATAACCCACGGGAAAATATGTTCAAGGGACATTCTGTCAATGTGCTTTTCCTCTTTTGAGTTGTTTCCTTAATTACTTAAATCACTTGTGCCCGGTGCTCAGCCTGCTAACAGCAATGTGTACAGTGCAAGGTCCTTTCAAAACATTAACAAAACATACACAACATACCCTTAGTTATCAACTGCAAAAATACAATATTAAAGTAAAAGAAATACACAGAAAATAAGTGAGAACAAAATGATAGCAAGATATGTTGCATATTCACATGTTTCATCAATTCATTCACTGTCCCTTTCTAATATGTATTTAGTGAAAATAGAAAAAAAAAGGCCTCTCAAATCAGAGCAACCTTGATATAATGATTTCAATAACTGCACTCATTCATCATGTGAAACAGACATAATAACAAATAATAAAAATTAAGGCTTCTATCCGACATTTAAGAACACCTAAGAACCCAGAGCCTCGATATTTAAATAACCATAAACAGACATTTATCGTTAGGTGCTTAAGGGTTTTAGCCTGCAGTTATACAGACCTGGTCTTGTGTCTCTCTGTCCAGAGGCGCATTGAGATAAATGACTCCTTCTCTGCTAATTGTGAAGAGCATCTCAGGAAACTCCCCCTCCAGACTGTATTCGACCTGACTCCCACTCCATTTGACCTACAGAAAACACACAGAATAAACACAAACTCGAATATGTGTAAACTGAAACATTCTGACGCCCCTTGCACCATGTGTTGAAGTACAATAAAACGTATAACACGGCATAAACATAGACACTATTTAGCTGGGCCTGCATGATGTAAAAGCCCAAAGCTTCATTCCATTTATTTCCAGGATAAGGAGCCAACCAAATGCACTGACATTGATGTGGAACAGAGAGCACAGCCAAAAGTAACTCAGCAGGCTGAAGGGGATTTTCCACTCTGCTTTACAGCCCTTGACAGAGGGCTGTGCAGTGGGGCTGAAAGGGCCCTCATAGTCATCAAACAGCACCCAACAAGGAGAGGGGCCCTGCCGCAGTACAGCTGATGTTCACTCAGGGCATGTGTATCTCCTCAACTCACTGTCACACACTCCTCCCTTGTTTTGGAGATGGCTCCCCAAACACTACACTTTTGTATAAACAGAGTGGTTTCACACAGCTGGCTGCCTCTCGGTGTTATGGTAAGAACTTTAAAGAGATATGTTTTTTTTTTTAAACGGATTAATGTCCACCGGCTGTTTTAACGTTCTATTCAAAACATCTATGAAGTCATCTGTTTTGCCCCGTCTGTGCTTGAGTTAGCAGAGTACATTCTGTCTCTAATATTTGCTTGGGGTTTTAACCTACGTGAAGACAACGTCTGTGTGTGCTTTTCTCACAGACACGGCCAAAGACCCGATGTTGGTGTCCAAGTCTGTGATGTCACATTACATTAAGGTCTTGTGGAAACACAAGAGGCACGACTTGTAAACAAACAGCGGGAGCTCCACATACACACAGTCTCCAAAATGCTCATAAACCCTCTCACAGGGATCCCATCCCACCCCATGTAACAGCTTTACTACAGTTATCTACTACTGTCATCACACCTTGAAGTGGCAATGTGGCTTGGGCTCAATAAGTCGCAAATTCTGAGCTGCCACAATATGATTTTTTTCAAATACCCTGTAAAGTCTGGAAGTCAGTAAAGAGAGACAGAATGAAAGAAGTGTGTTCTTTGAGATTTAAAACCAGCAAGACCTGCAAAGACTAAAAGGGGTTTTAGCACCTGCCATTTTTGCCTTACAGAGATCAAGTGCTCTTTGAAGTATTTTAATGTTTGCTGACAGCCTGGCCTTGAAATCAGATATATTTCATTAAATTTGAATATCAGGTCCAGAGATATGTGATTCATGGGAGCATCATGCCCCTAACCCCCTTCCTGCTGCAGCTGTGAGTACACGCGTGTGTGCACAAAAGAGCCTCTGCGTATTCATAGGCACGCTGTCAGAGCAGAAAGAGAGATGTCAAAGGGTTTATGTCCTGTTGGAAACAAACACAACTCCATCGCTTCTGATTTTGCCAAAACAGTAACATGGGTAAGAAAATAGACCCTCTAACTATTCCAAAAAAGAGTTTGTCTGTCTGTCTAGTCTGCTATCGATTAATTAGCTTGCCATTATTGTGGGATCACATGGCATGCTTTTATGCGCTCCATTCAGACAGATTGACTGATGATGGCGAGAGAGAGCGAGAGGGAGAGCGAGAGAGAGAGAGAGAGAGAGAGACAGCTGCACATGATGATGAAAGAGAGTAAAAAGAGAGAGGGATCATCAGTAACTGCAGATTATTCTTTAAGATATCTGAAAATGTGTGTGATTGTTGGAAAACATTTTGTAATATAACAATAAACTAATGGTAAGATAAATGCATTGAACTTTTTATCCAACTATAATCATTATCCGTTTGATAATAACTAGTGTGCATCATATCTGAAGTAGACATCTCAGATTTTCAGGGATTAGAATGTTTTGGAATTTCTATAAGGTGGAAAGTGTGCATAAAAAAACAAGTCCTATCAAAACAGAGGTGGAGTATCTAAAAATTCCATCTTCAAAAGGCATCAAAGTCTTCACAACCCACCACATTGTAGTTCACTGGATTTTATGATCAGATCAATAAATTGTATGATAAGGATGGAGAGAAAGAGAGAGATAGTGTGTGAGAGAGAGAGAGAGAGAGAGAGAGAGAGAGAGAGAGAGAGCAACAGTTGATAAGAGGAGAACTGAAAATGTGTTTTTTAAGCGTCAAAGAGTGAATATATTCTATTAATATAATACACAAAACTAGTCATTCCAGGTGTTCATTTGTTCATTTGGGCCCCTGCCCCTCTAAAAATGTCTTAGCTCCTGGTCTCTGTTAACTCCTGCAGAATGCTTTCCTCTTTCAAAGCTAGCATCACAACTTGCAAACCTAATCTAAACACCTAAACACCAAGTCTAGACAACAGTGTCTGACCAACTTAAACACTCTTTATGATCATCATCATGAGCATCCCCTACATACATGTAACTGACTTTTTGACTTTTTAACGTTTTAAATCAACATCTCTTAGTTTCAATTCAGGTAAATGCTAGTTTGTAGGCAGCACCTATGCTGACCAGCCTTAAGGCCCCAGAAAAAAAAACATGTTAGCCGAGCTTACTCATCCCTTTTGTATGTTTGTGGCACGAGGCGGTCTCTGCCTGGAAGTTGTGTAAAACAAAAAGTGATAAATCAACAAACAAAAGAACCAATCACTATGAGCAACCTCTTTACATGACACACAGCCTGTGATTAATTCTCAACAAAGAAATTGGATCATGGCAGCTAAATGTTGTTTGTGTTATTCACGCCAATATAAGATCATCTCTGATGACTAGTGTGTGGAGCCACATCGATATGTCATTTGTAATACTGACCACTGCTTACAAGGTCATGACGAAGGTCTAATGTAGCTCAAACTCATTCTGCAACAAATAATTACATTTTGTTTGACATTAAGAACTGATGATTCAATGCAGTTTAGAGCCTTGATGCATTCATTCAAAGGCTCTCAGGCTTCTCTCTCACCCCAAAGTCTCAAGATTGCATCGCTGAGCTCACAAGTAGTTTTGCTGATTGCATTACATAATCAAAGTTTTAGTCAGGCAATCACACATGTACAATAGATAACAGATTGAAATTAACCTCCGTAGGCCACATGATGTCAGCGTTCCGATAACAAATGCCTGGATTTCATTTATGAAATTAAGATCTAGAGCTCGTTTTGATCCGATTGCAGAATCAGTCAAATTGATCACAACATAATTTTACTAAGTTTTATAACACAGAGAAGACAGATGGCAGAAATGCACCAAGAAGCAGATTGGTTTCAGCTTCTGCCAAAAGACTGTCACATCATGGACGATGTCATCACTGGCAGAACACAATATTTTTTTTTTACAGATGAGTGGATGTGGACATGACTGCTCCATTTATCTGAGATAGTATGGGAGGTGGGATAAAGAGTGGGCGCCTGAACATGAATATCTCTGTATGTGTCATAACAGTGGTTAGTCCCACCGCCTTCTGAGCAAAGCAGTAAACTACTCAGTGTAGGCGATAGGAGGCTTCCCCCAAGTACACCTCCAAGTCCACTCTGTCCAGTTTTGTGTGATTTCAATTCTGAATAGGGACAAACGTTATATACATATAAACATGTATATATACGTATATATACACATGTAAGTATATATATAGCTAAAAAGGTTGATGTTCAGTGAGGGAACAATGGAGGAATAATTTCTCACTCTCTTCACACATTTTTCATTAAGAAAATTAGAGCAGATACACTGAGGCAATCTGCCCAGCAAATTTATTTCACATAACCTCAATTACATATACATGCACAGATGCTATTTGTTTCTATTACAATCATTAATATGAATTACCCTTTCAAGGGCACCAGGCTGTGTATTAAGGATTTGGTATTGAGCATTAATCCTAGGAAAAAGTGGCCTTTAAAAGATGACAGAAAAAAGTGTGCCTACACTTGTGAGTCCACACGTTTTCAGTGGGTGGACGGGGCTGTTCGGGAAGGAGAGATGAGAGGCTGAGGGCGAGTGTGGGGGAGCTGGGAGAAATCAGGAGGAGGGGGAAGCATTGTGATGTACCTAGGCTGCAGTGACTCTCAGAACCTGAACAATGTATTCAATATAGCAGCAGAATCTGCTTTACAGACAAGTGTCTTTGTCTCTGTAGTTCTCAGTACTGAATTAATAAAGTTTATATTTTTGCAAAGCGGGCATACATTTGTAAAATGTACTCACTAAAGAATAAGCAACAGTGCTAGGTAATATTTTCCATGTGTTACAAAACCTCTGAGGGATTGAGAGTTATTTATAGACATGTAGCTGATATGGCTAAAATTATAACAACCTATAGGTTAGACAGTACTGAGGAAAGACACAGTGATACGTCATGGAACCCTGAGGGGAACATTTTAGACTGGATCTACAAAATGATACTGCAACAATGCAAGTCAGTGAAGTTCACTCCAAAAAGTACAGTGAATGATGATCCAACACTTTCAGGTTAAAAAGGTTGCGGTCAGGTCATGATGAAATAGCTGCTCACTCTGCATGTTTATATATGGGGGCGATCATGGATTTATATTGGATACCGGATGTCCAGCTTTAGATGTTACATTTGTATAAATGCTCAATAAATCAGCACAGTTAGTGTTGCTGCTGAGTTATTCAGTTCCAAAATAGATTTTCAACTAAGTGATGGCATGTAGAGATGCAAAAAGGATTCATTTTGTTATCAACACATGCAGGAAATACTTTTTCAAATAAACCAGTCTGGTGTGTTCATCACATGTTTCCACAGTTCACAAGGATTTCTTTGTCTCCTTAAGATAATAGTAAAACATACAAAAGCAGTAGATCCTCTAACCTCCTAATCTTAACCCGGAGAACATTTTCTTGAAGAAGCTAGGTACGTTATTGATTATATTTCATTCTGATGGATGAATTAATAATAATTATGTCCAATATTTTCTCAGTGTGACATAAAGTAGGAAAATATTCATTCTATGTTTTACAAAATGACTTAAATTTGTAATTTGCATTCAACCTGCCAGGTTTGTTTTCTATCACTCAGAGTGGTGTTGGTAGTAGTGGTTGTGGTTGGTCGGAAGGTGAGCGGGTGATCATAGGAGTTGAAGTGACTCAGTCAGGAGGTAGCCTGAAAGGATCCATGGCATTTGAACAGCATTAATAATTCAGTATTTGGTCACTTAGAACAACCCTAGAGGCCCTAAAAACAGCAACTGGCAACATGATGCCACTTTACACTTTCCAGCCTATTGACAGTTTATTTTATTGTAATATGATAGTTGACGGCTGTAACTGCATAAACCATAAAACCAGCACTTACCCTGAGTTGTTTGCTTGATAGATGTTAAAAATCCAATCAGTAAAAGTGGTTTCAAAGCAGATGGGTAAAAACACTCTGCATGCTGAAGTGACTGATTGGTTGGTGTTGAAGTGTTTCAGAGTGTTGAGGGATTCGCTGCCTCACCTGTGAGATGGGGATGGGGTAAGGGCCTGGGAGGTTCTCCTGAAGTCTCACAGGGTCGGGGGATGCCCAGGTGTTTCCTGTCACCTCAACAGTAACGATGCCAGTGGTAAAGAAAGCGTTCGCCTTGCCCGCCATGTCCTTCACCATCACTGAGAGTTTGTAACGGCCGCACATCTCAGGGTCTAGAGTCGAGGCTCCTGGAGATCACAGACGGACTGATGTTACAAGAAAATCTTATTTACATTTCATTCTATCTTTAACTTTTATTTAAGAAGTAAGCTATTTTAAATTGACAACTTTTGTGCTTTTGTAGTCTTCTGACTACTCAAAGTGCTTTTACACCGCAGGTCACTCCTACCCATTTACACCCATTCACACACTGATGACAGAGGTTGCTATGTAGTGAGACCATCAGAAGTAACTTATCCCATTTACACACATTCATTCCCCCGACCCCGAAGCAGCGAGAGCAACTTGGGGTTAAGCGTCTTGCCCAAGGACACATTGGACATGTGTCTTCAGCAGCTGGAGCTGGAGATCGAACCCCCAACCTTCCAATCTAGGGACTAGCAACCGAGCCACAGTCGCCCTAATGTCTGTTGCATCATTCCAGAGTGAATGACAAACAAATAATGTGGAGGAAAATAACCAATTAAAGGAGATATATAAAAATGGTAACTTGAACATGTCTCTAATTTTGTAGCCATGCAAATGCTGCATTTATCACCTGATTTTCAGTTTTCTAACCAGAATGGATGAAACCAAAAACACAAACAGTCCACTAGAAAGGTAATCATAACCTTTATTTATACCATGCCTGAAAGAAAGTGGAAAATCAAGGAGGTAATTGGCAATTTGGGAAAAAACCCATCTTGGTTGAAAGCAGCAGTGGCAGTGCAGACGCGAGAGACTGGAGAGCGTGAAAGTCATCTGGCTCCTGCTGAGCGGAAACAAAGGGCAATACCAACGCTACAGAAATAGAAGCAGCATACAGGACTTTACTGCATCCAGAGTGTGTATTTGTGTGTATGGTGTACTGTGTTAGCATATCTGTTTGGATAATAGAAGGGCTTATGGCCAACTGCACCCCTTTTCTGACCATTTTAAGCACTTTTGTTGTATTTAAAGGGGACATATTATGAAAACTTTTACAGGATTTCTGAACATATATTTGGGTAACCTGAGTGTCTACCGACCCACAACATGTGAAATAAACCCACCCACCCTTTTTTTGTGGTCTGCAAAAGTCTTACAACACAGAGAAAAATGCTCCATTTCAAATTTGTTCTCCTTGTGACGTCACAATGGAATTCTGGTAAAAAAAAATACCTTCCCCTCCCCTGGTATTTCCACCCATGGACTCCACTAGAGCAAAACTTTTGTGCAGGTCCACCATTTTAATTCTCGCTAGCGAAGGAGTGATGTCTACCGGGATAACTAAGGGGGGAGCTCATTGCATTTAAAGAGACACACACACCAAAATGTTTGAAATGTTCAGAAATGTTTAAAAAAGTTACTATAAACTTCTTCAAACATGTTTGTGATACTTCTGTGCAGCAATTTCTTGTTATGGACTGGCTTTTATCAATTTATCTGCAAGATGCTAATGGACTGTATTTATTATTTTTGCAATGTTTGTAAAAACTAATGGGAAATAATAGCAAGACTAATGGTTCCATAAATACAAAGCTTGTTCAAACATGCAACAAAAGACTAAGAAATACTTCTTAAGTATACAAACGAAAAGACAGACTGTTTGGTCTTTTAACAAAGGTCATGAGGCTAACCCTTAACCATGAAGAAACCTCCTTTGGGGAGAAACAGAATATCATGTTAACTCTCCCAGCAGTCACTATTTGGGACTGACCTTCCTCAGTGAGGGAAACCTCTCCAGTGATTGAGTTGATGAAGAACATTTGACTAGAGGGGATCCTGGGCGTCTGTTCCATGAGAGTGAAGCGCAGCTCGGCGTGGGCAGTGTTGCGGTCATCACGATCCAGAGCCTCCACCTGCATGAATGGGATCCCTGAGAGACACAGGTGGTGCAAAGTCAAAAATGTCAACTACTGGATCACATGTCTCTCCCCACCACACACTCCAAGAATATAGTAAATCTCAATTAAATCAGAGAAGGATGGGACATGTGGTCTAAATGAAACATCTGAATGTTAAGTGTGTGTTTGGTTTAAGTATAAAAGAATAAAATATATTTGTAACAAAAGTAGTTTGAAAGCTGATCTTCAAAAGTGACTGATGTTTGCAAATATGAATTAGTTTTATGACTAATGTACCAAGTATTTTTTTTAATTTTTTTGGGCTTTGTATGCCTTTATTTAGAGACAGGACAGTGGATAGAGCCAGAAATCAGGGGGGGAGAGAGTGGGGCATGACACACGGGAAAGAAGCCTCAGGTTGGATTCGAACCCGGGCTGCCCGCTTGGAGGACCACAGCCTCAGCACATGGCGTGCGTGCACTAACCACAATGCTACCAGTGTCCCCCAAGTCATTTGTGAATCTGTGTCTTAAATTATCCATCACAAAGTAATTTAGTTGTTGTGTAATGTTCTCAATCTTTGAGTGAGATTATATTTCTCTTAACAAAACAAAATCACAACTAGAACAAGCCAAAATGAATTTTAATTTCATGCTTTACTTGCAGTGGTTTCTATTTTATCTCTTCCAAAAACATCTATATTTTAAAATAAAATTTAAAAAAGTGAGTTTTGTGTGCCAGTGTGCTTGCACAGCCATGCGACAGTCTACAGAAGTCTTGGAAGTGTTATCATAAGGTAACTGGATGCTACATTATTCATTTCATTTAAAGTCAGGATAAGGGTTGTTGCAGTTTCCACGGATACATTAGAGATGGTTTTGGCAAATTGAATGATTTTTTAAGAAACCTCGGAGTAAGGCTGACAATTTGGAACCAGACTGAAAAATGTTATTCAGCAAAGTCACATAACGGCTCAAGGTTCTCGTACCTTTGAGAAGCCCCAGCTGCACGCTGCCTCTCATGCTCATCTCTATGAAAGTGGGTACGTTGTCGTTCTTGTCAATGACACACACTTCGACCGTGAAGCTCTGACGGTGCACCGATGTTCTGAAAGACACCTGCAGTACACACAAAACACACTGTGTAAGTGTCTATAAATAACACGCTCTGCATGCAACCTTCTCATGAGACTGTAATGACCATCTAAACGAGTGATTCATTCTTCATAAATTATAGAACATAGGACCATGAATCTAGTATGATGAACAAGTGAGGATATATGAAGCCTAATGTGTTTTGCAAATTTTCTCTACACGTGTTTGTGATATTTGTTCATTAGGAAAGTTGTTTATTAGAATTTGTTATTACTACAATAACATGACGTGCCACCATGAAAATTGTTACCTGCAGGGAGTAGGACGGTTGTTTTTCTCTGTCCAATGGTTTCAGAGCATACAGAAACTGAGCATCAACTCCAAATATCCCCTCGTCATCCCCTGTTACCACTAGATCACTGTAATTACTCGGCAGGCCATGAAGCTAAAAACAACAGAAGAAAATACATAAAACATCAGTTAGTGTTCCTGTTTAAAAAGCCAGCTTTCAAACAAACAATATAGAGTGGGAGGACTGTAGCAGCATGGCAGTCATTGCTGCCATCTGTGATATGTTTTTAACCTGTATTTAACCAGGAAGTCCAGTTCAGATTCACTTTAACCACTTAAATATGTAACCAACAGCAGCAGATAAAGAATTATGTCACAGAGGGAGGTGAGACACTCATATTGTTTTTGGCAACGATTGCTCCCAGACTGACAATACAATCAAAACGGTGTCTCATAAGACCTATTTAGTTGCATTCTGTTGAAAAGTCAGATGTTTGGGTTCAAATGAAACTGTATAGTGTTGACATCATGTTGACTGCAACTATACTAGCAGCAGCTGTTCTTTACTTGACCTACATGCCTTAAGGAATAAGGAAAGATCTATAACGACATTGACTTAGTCCACAGAATAACTATTTGACATGTTGTCAAGGCTACATAGCCTGTTCCTCTGGGCAACCCAGAGAACAAAAACCTATTGTTTTCAAAAAGCTATTAAAAAAACATCAGGGAGCAATACTGTTGACATGTTTTGTAATTGAACATGGCCACTTAATTTAGATCCAGTTTAACATCCACCACTGTGCTGTTTAAAGGTTGAGCTGCTATGTATTACCATATATGTTTTTAACTATGTAGGAGCAAAAATACATCCAAAATCTGTCTTTTGTACATTTTAATCATGATCATATCATGTTTTCTTCCTGTAAAACAAAATTCAAGTTCATGAAATCCTCCCATAAATGTACAATATCTTCCCACATTTAGCAGCAATTAGCTATTCATTAGCATGCTAGTTATATACAGCGTGGTATCTGTATGCCTCTTTCTGGTGTTTACAACCTCAAATCTTGTAGCATCCCCCCCCCCCCCCTCAAAAACGCCCTACAGGCAACAACTTCTTCACTTTGAGGAAATTGTTATCTGTGACAGCTCCAGAGTATGCACAAGGCATTTCACAGTGGACTGCTTCAGCAACTGGAGCATACAATGGGCTTAGCCTCTCCCTTTCTGACAGCGAGACAACTTTGTTATGATGTGCCTACTTTAAAAGTGTACAAATTAAATTCCTCCCCTGTTGTGTCCTACATCTCTTTGAAGGCAGAAAAAAGTATAGTCTTGAAATACTGTTTCAGATACTTTAAGTAGCCTACTTGCCTGCACACTTAATATGTGCTAACGCGCTAAAACTACAATGGGCAGCTGATGTAGGATTTACTGAAATGTTTAAAAGTTGAACTTTATATTTGTGACCATTGTTATTTTTTTTGGCTAGGTGATGAGCCACAGACAGAGTGGGGGAGTTGAAAAGTATCAAGAGATGGACAAACACACTTACTCATGTTAATCTTAAGCTAGTTATAAAATAATGAAATTCTCCTTAAAAAAAAAAAAAATTCCAGCATCTGCAATTAGACATGACTGATGACCAAATTAGTGTCATTATAATCCCTCACAGTGTAATACCTTGCAGAAAGGCTGGGGTTACACAAGTACACAATGTCAAAATGTGAATGAGGGATATTTTAGAGAAAGGTATCCCATGATGCAAATGTCTTCATTAAGACGATATTTGCATCTTTGGGTTGACCATTCACAGTACGCCTACAAGATAAGTAAAACCTTTTATTCTTCTGTTCTTCGTAACAGACAAGTGCAGCCTTCTCTGATGAGCACACTATCATGAAGAGCTTTTACCTTGAACGAATTTCGTTCCTGCAATTATTATGTCCTTTCTATTCAAACACAAAGTGCACTTATTATCTAACTCCCCCATTCTGTCCATTACCATGCTATTTCAAGAGTGTTAATGACACTCAGTCCGATGCAAAGACTGAAAATATGACTATGTGCCATAAAAGATGTGATGACATCACAATACAGCCAATCACAGTGCCCGATCCTCATACTGTTGCACAATCCAGTGGATATCTGAGTGACATATATAAACAAAGCACCCCACCCGCCACCCGTTTGGAGGGAGTGCAGAGGCTGGGTCTGATGCCTGAGAAGAATTGTGAACAAGCCAATTATAGTCTAGTGATGACGGCAGCATGCTCATACATCTTCAGCTTTAAGTGCAGATGGGAAAGAAACAAGAGAGTGATGCAGTACTGGCTCACAGTCGACCTTAATTTTATGTCCTTAGAGCAAAGATGATACCTTTTTTTTTTTTACTCATCACTGAAAGTTCAACATGCTGAAAAGCTTGCAGATGTTTTCATACAACAGGTATGAAGACATTTTGAATACAACATAAAATAACAAAAAAAATGCTCTTTATAATATTAATGTTTGCAGGATTTCCAGTCAGATGTATGTGCACCCAACATTGTTATTTGGACATGAAGGTATAAGAATCACACATCTCTTCTAAGATTGCAGTTGGAGCATTTTGTTTGTAGAATTGTGTTAAACTGAAAAGCCTTACCTTGGCTAGATACCAAGGAAAAATACCATCGTAGTTTTCTGGGACACCAATTTTAACATTTGCACCAGAGCATGCAGGTGCAAACATGTAAAGTATCGCCAACTGTGGAAAAAAAGGGAAAAATCACATTTTACCTTAGTGACTTGGTCTATGCAGTATTTGTTTGTAGATGTACAATGTAGATGTTAAGAGAAATACAAAATAAATCTTACTATAGTAGCTTTGATGAGCATTGATGTAGCTTTTCTGTCAGCCATGGGTCCCTGTAATACCGAATGTGGCACATTCACAGCATTTCAGACCACATGTCCTCAGCCCAACAATCAAAACAATTTCTTCTTTGTTACTGATTCACCACCATGGAATTCTTTCATACACACAGATTTCACAGTTTTTACATGCATGTCAAACAACTGGAATTTGAATGTGTAATCGCCTTCAAAGCCGTTCAAAGCAACATCTGCAACAACTGTTGCTTTAGCAATACAAAAGAGTAACTCCAATTAAGTGTCCAAAATTAAACCACCACCTTTGAATAAACTGTCCCTTAACAACAACACATGAAGACAATAATACAAGATGGCAAAAATGCCTCAGTAGTTAGGCAGCAATACTTCTTAAACGCTACTTCCATTTCAAACAAAAGGTTTTGGATCTTACCTTCTCCAAATGAGTTGTGTGCTCCCTGTGAGAGGTGTGAGAGGAGTTTAAATTGGGTGGAAAAATTGCGTACTTGTACTCGTTGGGGGATTAATGGTTAACACCTTCAGATAAACATGCTTAACTACCTTGTTTCCTGCCTTTAAAACCAATGACCAGTGAGGTTCCATTTCACTGATACCATCAAATGAATATTCATGGCGATGTAAATTGTTAGAACAACACCTTTTTTTTGTTATTCTGCTGCATTCTGCTGAACACTTTGCTGCCGGGGAAAAAAGACAGAGAACACTTTGTGTTTTTCTTTTGGAATTTTATTGTAAAAAAGGAAATCAAAGTAAACAAAGAACTTCCAAATAATTTCAAGGTTCACAAGACTAAAATAACTTATTGCTTTACTCGTACATTCACAACCTGAATTCAGTGTTATGGATCAGCAGAGAACAACAAAAGTTTCTCTCATTTTTGATTAGTCCTCAGTAACTTGGCTGAGGCACGAACCTGCGTACCACGCTTCAAGTAATCATGACTCCAGACGACCGAGCATTGTGAAGTTTACAGCGTCTTTTAGGATAATGAGATGTATGTTGCATTCGGCATCATTCATGTTATAGTATATACATCAATCCCCTCCAATAAAGGAGCTCAACAATAACCCAACAATAGGGCAATCTTCACCACTCATTAGAAAAAACAAGCCTTTGTGGATTTCTTTTCTTACAAACTGATCATACCATGACAGCAACATGTTTAAGGCGGACAATAAAATGAAATAAAATAATGATTGCAAAGCTTCATGCAGGTAATCACCATTATAATGATAATGATATATTTCGTATTAAGTCCTCTCTTTGCTTTTGGTAGTTGTCTAAAAAATAAAAATATATTTCTGTACAGCTCTATTAGTCCTTTAGGGTTAGTGTTAAAACACACACAGCGTCTGGTCTTCAGAGGGCAAAGAAAAAAAAAGTCCATCTGTCCCAATCTGTTCCTCAGAGAACCGTTAGGTCATGGCAGGACTTTGATTTCTGCCTGAAAGCCATCTTCTTGTTCTTGCGTGCGACCATGCGGCCCAGAAACCGTTTGGCCTTCTTGCCGATGCTCTCTCTACGCCTGCAGTTGGCCATGCGTCGTGCGTTCTCCTCCTTGCTGTCTTTCCTCAAGCGGATCTGTCTGACGATGCCCTCAAATAAATCCTGCACGTTGTGATGAAGGGAGGCGGATGTCTCTATGAACTTGCAGTCGAATACAACTGCGCAGGCACTTCCTTCTACAACGAAGAACACAGAGAAGGGAAAATCAGTAAATGCAGATTAAGACCATAGCTAACACAATCAATAAAATACTACTGTTTTAATGCATATAGTTTATTTTTCATTGTTAGCTGAATTTAGGGCCTGTCCTGATCCTGAGCATTCAAGTCAGAAATGACACCTAACCCCAACAGAGCCAGTCAAGTTGAAACAGCTCTGTCAGATTTGATGTTAAAATGGCTCGAGAATAATTTACAGGCTTCAAATTATAAATGCATGACATAGATTTACTATCTATATCTATTGCAACAACATAGGTTCAAAAGTTACTTTAACATTGTGACTTACCATCTACAGACACCTCTCTTGATCGCACCAGGTCACTCTTGTTGCCCACAAGGATTATGGGAATATTCTCTGACTGCCTAGCCCGGCGCAGCTGAATCCGCAGCTCTGATGCCTTCTCGAAACTTGATTTGTCTGTCACTGAATACACTATGATGTAGGCGTCCCCCATCCTCATGCACTGTTCCTTCAGCCACTGGCTGTTATCCTTCAGGAGAGGCACAGATTCCAAGTTTAGCTTCATATATTGAAGATCCTATCTGTTGCTAATATATTGTACACAATTTTATGAAAATAGGTGCATACATGATAAAAATCCTCACCTGTTCCCAGATGTCGTACAACACTATGGATGCCTCTTCTTCATCCACAAGAACACATCTGTCATAAGAGTTTCCTGAGGGGAAAAAATGAAATACTGTTACACTCTGACAGAAAAGTGCATAGCATATTTTATCTGAATGGTGGTGTTTGTTGTCAGTTCAGTATTTTGAATTTCTCACACCGATTTCAGCACATTTTTTTCTTCAGTCTACATACTGAAGCAGAGAGTTGATCACAAGCCTTTTATCAAGCCATCACTGGCCTTTTTTATTTTCCCTTCATATAATGCTACTGGATGTGTTTCTGACAGCTGTAGTACTGAGAGCAGAGCTGGTGCCTCTCTGCAGATGGAAATAGCAATAATCAATGCTTGTACACTCCTGCGTGCAAAGATAAGAACCCTGTTTGTTTTGCTATTCCATCATTTGGACTTTATAGATAGTCTAATTATCTTTTGTCCTCATAGATAAATAGAAGAGAGGACTTCTTAAGCAAGTTGGAGGTAGAAAGTGGCCAGTAAAAGTATGATGCTTGATGTTTCAAAACTGAACTTTTATCATGTAAATTGAATATCCAATCATTAATAATACAATCGCTCCTGCATTTCTTTTGATGAGTACATTAACCTTTGACATTCCTTATTATGTCATGCATCTCCATAGACAATGAATATATTGAGTGTGTGTGTGTGTGTGTGTGTGTGTGTGTGTGGGTTGCTAGTGTTGATGACTCATCCTCCTCGGCATCACCATTTACCTGGTTCATCGCAGTCGTGACCAGCATCCTCAACTCCTCCAAAGACACGCGCTAGGCTGGACTTGCCGACCCCGTGCTCCCCGAGGAGAACCACCTTGTACACCTGGGAGTCTGTCTCGCTGCCAGTGGAGATGACGGAGTCGGAGGAGTCGGACGCGCAGCTGCCTCGGTGCTGCTCGTTAGGGGAGTAGGACGTGCAGCGCAGGAGGTTGGATAGCTCGTCCGTTTGGCCCGTCTGTGGCATCGTGGCGCGCAGATCCCGGTCGTCCACGGGCATGCTCCTCCGGTGTAGATTCGGTAGATTCATAGGGAATGGCATGCTTCCCCTTCTCTTGTCCATGTTCCGCAATTTGTCACCTTTGTTTAAAGTCATTGTGCTTACACCGAGAATCTGTGGATAGATGGGACATGCGTAAATGTGTGATCTAATGATCAAATGCATTTAGGAAAAGGCGGTAAAGGACAGGGATGCATTAAACATTACTCCTCAAAAAGATTATAAGTCATGTTTAAGGATTAAAACCAAGGCCCACAGATGAAACGTAAAGTCATTGTTTTTTAAGGAAAAGTCGACCTGAACTGATCTGACCACAAGTTTATCAAATAAAAGCACGAAAGTAGAGCTTAAAGAGTCTCTCAAGTATTAACCACACTTACTCGTTTCTGGGATAAAATCCAACGAAGGCAATCCAATAATCCTTAGTTTAAAGAGTTGTTGTAGCGGAAAAAGCGGTTTTGCTCGAGTCTGACCACAGTTGCTGTTCATCGTTTTTATATGAGACTGAGAGTGACGTCGGCAGGGATTCGCCCCGGAGAATCACGTCCCGGCTTTTCATAGTGGTGCGTAAGGGTAACATCACTCAGAGAAGGGGGTGTATGACTGGAAGGGCTGAGGAATCTCCCTTCCGCATCGCCAAATGGAGAGCGTACCTCTGCGGGGGCGGACAGAGATGAATCCTTGAAGAGGGAAAGCCCACTTAAAGCTAGAGGGATATAAATATTTAATATGAATTTAGGAGATATATTTAGAGGCGGTAAAAGCACATCAGTATGATGCAAGATGTTATGAATTAGGGCGTAATGCAAAGACTAGATCATGGAAGCATGATATATGATCAAAGAAAATCATTTTTGAGCTTCAATGTCAAGGTAAGACGGAGGTCATTACAATCACATGATGGAGATTTATTTTAATATAGCCATACTATATCTAACTTGAAAGAAAATGCATTAGGCCTATAACATGCAACATTTCAGTTGATGATTCTGTTGGTTACTATCACACTCATAGATATTTTTTTTAGCATTCTCGGAGAAATAAATACTCAGATTTGGAAGTGAAAATCAAACAAACATTCAAATGTCACACATTTAGTTTGCACCAATCACCTCGCTGACTGAAAAAGGAAAGGCTTCAGCCACTAAACCTTAGTTCCTGAAATTAAAGTAGCAATTCACCTGTACAATTTTAAAGTTTTCTGATCCATGAATTTGTTGTGTAATGAAACATACTTTTATCATAAAATATTAAAGACTGTACCAAATACATTTGCAGGCAAATCTCACCATGCAACCATAAATATTTCAAATAACTGCATGTCAGTCATTTACTTTTGCATTTGTTGCATTATTGTGTCTTGTTTCATTAACATAAATGTGCTTATACACAATGTAGCCCAAAGCACCCAGTACTTTATAGTACAGTGCTCTGCAGGCAGACTTTGATTTTTCAATTTGTATCAAATTCTGTAATTGACATCTTAATTGACCCATCTGTCACATAACTGCATTTTTCTTGTTATCATGTTACTTCAGCATCTTTTGCACTATTCACCACTGTACCGTTTCATATTTAGTAATTTAAATATTAGTATTTTCTTATTATGTTCATGGTTGATATTTAATGTTGTACCTGTACATATGAGAGCACAGTTCACCGAAGTTGTCTTGTGTGTGTAAGCATACATGGCCAATAAATCTGATTCTGATTCTGATCAAAGTATCTAGATGGTGTGTTGTTGCCCCCTTGTGGCTTCTTGTCTTACCCTACAGTTGAACCCGGTTGAACCTGATGAACAAACGTGTCCTCAACATTATGTCATTTCTGTTTTTTCTCTATGTGAACAGATAGTTGAAAAAAAAAAACTGTCACCTGTACCAATGCCACACGTATTCTGATTTCTTCATAATGAGCTTATCAGCAAAACAATATTTTTTGTTGTTAATTAAATGTTGTATGTTGTGTAATTAATTGAATGTTCCTTTGTTAACTTCCTGCTTTCACCAATTATCCACATGAAATAGTGTAATTAATAATTCGGTACCCCTGAAAGTGGTTACTGCTTGCCTAAAGCTTGTATAAGATTTGGGACTAAACTCATTCAGCTAAACAAAAGATCAGATTGGGGTCAAACATTACTTAATTCCCCAACTGATATAACCTATTTTGTGGACTATTGAGTGTGGTTTTTAGATCACTGTAGGGCATTTTAATGCATGAAAGATCCCCCTTCATCTGTGTTGGCCTGACTATTTTTGATATATCGTTTGAAAAAAAAAAAAAATCAAATTTTATTCAATTCAATGATATTGGAGAACATACAGTAGGCCTATGTAAAGCACATCTACATAAATTGCAATAACCATGTTACAATCTGGTAAGCCCAACTTTCTGGCAGAGTAAATAAACATGTTGTAAACATTTAAAATGATGTCACCCTCTGATGGTCTTAATGATAAATACAAGTCCATGTATAGAATAAATGCAGAACAGGCGTTTTAAACACGGTAAGTTACTTTTTAAAGACAAAACTTTTTCGTTACTTCTTTAAACTGCGACCAAGAGACGTACGTTATGTGAAATGTAAAGCTAAAAGTCAACTTGAGTCCCTTCCATTGAGGATTAAACTTGCTGTACTGTACATGAAGGACACTCTATTGCTCCCTCTCATGGTTTGTGTAAAGAAGAACACTTGCGTCACAACACCGGAAGTCAACCCTTAAGTTGTGATATTGCGCATGCGCTTGTCTCTCGTGTCTTCGACCTCTACTTCAAACCGGTGAGAGCTAACCTCCTCGATCACAAGCTGTGTGTGTTTGAGTAACATAAATAATTGTGACAATTCGGTGTAAGTACTTGCTTTTGTAGCATTACGGAGCACTGCACTGCTCAGATCCTGTTTGAATTTTAAACAAGCTTGTTTTAGCGACATTGTTCGTGTGTTGCTAATCTTGACCTTACTTGAGTATCTTCTGTGTGCACAATTTGTACTTTTTTAACTAGCAAAACAGCAAGACCTTTGCACAACTGTGACTTATTGTTGTTGTGTTTCATGTGTTGTTTTCTACAGACAGCGGACCTTTAAGTCAACGTCAGCACCTTTTTGATTGACCTGACCACTACACGTCCCTTCATCATGTATGCCTGTGCTAAGTTCGTCTCCACGCCCTCTCTGGTGAGCCTACATCAATGAATGGGGACATTTGCGGTGCATTTAGTTTGAGCAATTACACAGTTTAATATGGTCGTCGTCTGCCGAAAGCTTACAGTTTGTGGTCGGGGTTAAACGTGTAGCCTGCTCACACTGAGGGATGTGAAGTTAGCCGTCTTTGACTCCGTGCTAAAGTCAGTCAGTGTTGCACACCTGCAAGGGCATCCCCTGATTTCAACATAATCTACCTTTAAACTTCAATTTAAAGTTATTTGAGAAGCAGACATATTGTACATAAGGCTGAGCTGTTTAAATGCAGAATACAAATACATATTATAATGTTTTATAGTACTGCACTATTATCTTATATCATCCTCTTTAGCCTTGTACATATTAGTCTTTGCTTCTTTGTTTATTGTTGATGTTTAATATTATACCTTCCTACAAAGAGAGCACAGTTTACCAAAGTAAAATTCCTTGTGTGTTTAAGCATACCTGGCCAATAAAGCTTAGTCTAGGAGTTATCTCCATTGAAATTCATTCACCATTGTTTACTATAAGCAGAATGTCACTGTTGGATAAACTCACATGCTGGATGGATGCTCTCTTGGCTGAATTGATGTACCTCACACAGCTTACTTAACTAAATTTTCTTTTTTTTTTTTCTTTTCGTGATACAGGTCCGTGCCGGTTCTCGGGCTCTGTACAGACCACTCTCTGCAGCAGTAGTCTCTGATGCCAGGAAAGCAGAAGTAAGCTTTTATTTGTACCCGCAATTGCAAAGACATACGGTGGTGCATCAACACAAAAAGAAAATACCTCATAGCTGTTTAAGCAATCCAGGAGTGTAAGAACCTTAAACTGCATTGTTGTGGATAAAACCTCAGCAGCTAGGGAAGTTACAACTGACTCCCATTGACAAGCAACACTCGTCAATGGGATCGATCCTGCCTCTATTTTGTGATGATTGTCTTCCAGTGAAAAGTCACTGTTTATATTTTAGTGTGAATTAAAGAGTCATAAAGAGTTGAGAGAGAGATTTGGAAAACTACTAGAGCACACAATAAAGACTACTTAACTCAATACTTTAAGACATCTTTCCATATAGAAGAAAATGTGTCACAATGTGATGCCGTACTATGTTGTCTTTTTACTCACCTCCCTTAATTTTTGTATTTTAGACTGCTTCACTCCTGGCACCACAGAGTGCTGTAGCCTCCCTGCAGCAGGTGGCGGTGAGGGCTTTTCAGACAAGCGCTGTAAGCCGTGACATCGACACTGCTGCAAAGTTCATCGGAGCAGGAGCTGCTACTGTGGGAGTGGCTGGATCTGGAGCTGGAATTGGAACGGTGTTCGGTAGTCTTATTATTGGATATGCCAGGTTAGTTGTACTGATCATCTGTTACTTTCAGACATTTCAACCCAGGTTGAAAAGTTGTTGTACATGTTGATTAGTTGATATAATTTTTAAAGTAAGTAATTCATAGCTGTCACTTTTTAACTACGGCATTTTGAATATTAAAATGGCCAAGAAACTGATCTTACTTTAAGTGATAAGATGATAATGTTTTGGATATTAAACTGATCAAAATCAATAACAAACTTTATCAAGGCGTTTTGCTGCCTTAAAAGTATTGACAGAATTCACTGTTTAAGTTTGAAATCCTTCCTGGGGAACCTTGGAAGACAGTGTGACTTTGTGTTAACAGCAATGTCTCAGAAGTTGTACTTTTGGCACTTAGTACCTCCAGTTTTCTCAGCTGCCCGTCTCTTTCTCAACAGGAACCCGTCTCTGAAGCAGCAGCTGTTCTCCTACGCAATCTTGGGCTTCGCTCTGTCTGAAGCTATGGGTCTTTTCTGTCTGATGGTTGCATTCCTTATTCTGTTTGCCATGTAAACCAGGCAGGCCTTTTCAAAAGAAAGATCTATGAAGAGACACATGGTAATGAGCATTAGCAGTCTGAGATGTCTTTGAATGTTAGGGTAATGTCAACTTGTTGTGGTGCTTATTCTTGTTCATTGGAATCTCAAAAGATTGTGAACTCACAGATTTATGGAACTCTGGCAAAACCATTTCATTTTAAATGATGTTTTTGCCATTACATTGTATATTTAATCAAAGGTTTTTGTTAACAAATATTCAACCAATAAAAAAAGTAAAATGTTAATTCTCCTTTTGTGTGTTTGTATTTGTAAATTGATGTTTTTTTGTTAACGTTTGGGTTATATTAATTTGTTGATTTAGATTCTGAGAGGCAGTGTTTCTTCTGGTAACAACACTAAAAGACACTAAAGGATTCTGTTTCTTGGATGCTTGTATCGACATCACAGGCTTGAGAGACACAAGTAAAACCCAGAATGGTTTCACATTTAAATGTAGAAAAGTGAGGCTATGCACAAACTGGCTCAAAGTACATATCAGTAACACATACACTTTAGTTGCTTTATAGGATACTAAAAACTTGGGGACTCATCTGTAAGAAGATTGCATATTTAATTGTGAGATATATCATAACAAAACCAACAACACAGTGTGCTCATTATAAGATAAGATAATCCTTTATTTATCCCACAATGGGGAAATTTACAGTGTTACAGCAAAGAGCAAAGATTGCAAACAAAAAGTGAACACAGTACAATTTAAATATAAAAGAAAAATTAAGAATGTACAAAAAAATAGATTTAAAAAAAATAATAATTAAGTCAACTCAGTGCTGCCTCACAGTGGTATTGATCTTAGGATAAATCAAGTTAAACATTGCCTGCAGGTGAACACAGGTGGTTTTATAAATTTGGTTTCTGTTTGTGCATACACTTCAGGCATGGGTTCTATACACATTTCCTTAAACTTACTAACATATTTCTGACAAAACAGGCTTTTCAAACTACTAGTATGAATCTGTATAGTCAATTTGTTAACATACATTTTCTCGTATGGTTGCATTTTTTTATATTGCTTTTGGTTTTACCTCGCTGTTTAGTTAGTTCATCATTGGAATCCCCTTTCTTAGACATTCGTACTGAGCTAAACACGCCCACTGAGTTAACCACGCCCACTGAACGAAACACGCCCACTGAGTTAAACACGCCCACTGGAAATGAAATTCGGCGCAACAATTTCTAACCTAACTAAAACACAAATTACTTGGAAGTGAAGTCAACACTAAATTAAGTGCCCTTGTTCCAGAGGAAAGGTGTACTTACAACACCTAAAGTGTCGGTTAGGCTACCCCAAAAGTGTATTATCTTTCCTTTATTTTTGTGGAGAAATTATCCCACTGGATGGCCAAAAGGAGAACGATTTTTGATTCCAATTTAAGATGTAATCTTCAGGTAAGATAATAACAGACGAAGGTTAAAACCAAGCCTTACAAAGCATGGATGTATGTTCATTTTTTTTCTGGCCTTATAAATGTGTTTGTTTATTAAATTTTAAGTTAAAGTAATAGTCCCAATGTTGCGACTGCGACACTTAAAACAGGTGGAACTTAGAAATTACAGCGTTTCGGTGGGACGGATTTAAGTGACGCACATAACACCGGCATGTACGTAATCAATATGACAATATTTCTAAACTGGCTGTAAAAAAAGCGATATCAATGACCTTGATACTACAATCATTTAACAGTACGCGGATGTTAATTTACCATCAATTTCTTCAGTGTCCCTCACCTCCGTGGAGACTTTGGTCGTGTTGCGTTCACTGTCACACGGTTTCCGAGGTTGTTTTACAACTCAGCGACCAAAAAGGACCCTCCAATAACCAGGTAAACAAACATTTGGGGATGCTTGATAGTGTGTATTTTTTTTTCTTCGTGTCTGGTATTGATGGGCAGTCGCTCTAGTATGTCATAGTGTTGTGTTCAATGTCACATTTAATTTAAAGTACTGCAAGTAACTGAGTAAACCTCAGTTTAAGATATTTTCACCAGATAAGGAAGAATGGCAAGATTTTGCTGTCAAATCTTGCTACTTCAGATGTTTGTAATTTAATGATGAAGAAGACTGGATGATATGCATCAAAGATCTGCACACTGTGTGGCTTTATATCATATCATCAGCCCACAGTCAGTAAAACATCAGAGTAATGTGAATGCTGAACTGTTCTTTATGTGTTGCATTAACGCCCACTGGACTTTAAAAATGTATCTTCCTTACATGCAATCAGTGAGTAGTAACCATGGTAGTAACACACACTAAGATTTTTATTTTTTATTTTCTGATAGTCCACTGCACAGCTCCTACATTGCACCTTTTGTACATTTTGTGTTTTTTATATTTTATATTTTATATTTTGTATTTTTAAATTATATTTGATATATTGTAATAGCTTCTTATACTGTATTATTTAAGTTGTTGTTAGTTCTGCTTTATTTCCCTGTTAATTGTTTAGCACCAATACACCAAGTCAAATTCCTTGTATGTGTAAATGTGCTTGGCAATAAACCCTGATTCTGATTCTGATAATGTAAGTCGTATGAGTGTGGCTGCTCACAACACATATCAATACTATACAATATTTTCCTCATTCAGTAACCCGGAGTTACAGTACAGACACATTTTGTTCACTTACAGACAGTTGAGTTTTTTACTCTGGGATTACTATTGTGTATCTAGAAAATTATCCCTATGTAGTTACTTCATGTCAAATAATCTGATATGATTTGTGGTGCTGTCAATTACATTTAGCCACTAAAGGTATATAATCAAATTTATTAACAGTTATTCACTTTACACAGATTTGGCAATTAATATCCACCAGGGGTAGCGATTGTACAAGATAATTGACAGCAGTGTATTGTGTTGAGTTCAAAATCTTAATAGAGCGGCAATTCACCTTAAACTATAGTGTTTTCCCCTGTAAAACAAACTAAAGTGCTATTAAAGTTTACTTTAAGGAGTATTTGTAAGTTTTTGTCCCTCTAGATTTTCACCACAGTCTCTTTGAACAGGTAATAAAAAGACGCAGAAAAGAAAGACCTTCATGTCCGTCAGTACTGGACCGCTTTGACGAGCAGTACAGTCAAGAACTTGGCGACTTGTGGGCATCTTCTAGGTACATTTTATCTGTAATAATTAGTTGTGTATACACAAAATCGTGTTTTTAGCCTTCCTTCATTGGGATTGCTTTTCTCCTACAGAGCAGTGCTCCTGGACCCTCACTCGTGGCAGTATGGAGTCATGCTCAACCGCTTCAGTGCTGTGACAGACATCACACAGATTCTCCAGTCACAGGGCTTTTCCTCATTGCTGCTGCAAACACATGTCTCCAGGGTGCTTTCTAATGCCCCCCCAATAGTTTCAAATACTGAATACAAAGCAGGAAATGAGTCTGTGCTGCCAACCACCTACGTCTCCAAGTGCCCTCGTGATGACGGCACCACTAATGCATTCAGTCAGGAACTTCAATTGGAGTCGTCACTCAGGTTGTCCCGTCCTTCTCTACAATGTTACATCCACCCATATCCACTATGGTTTCCCTCTCAGGCCCACAGGCCTGGCCAACTGAAGCAATACTACCTCCTTAATGCTGCCTCCTTACTCCCAGTGCTGGCTCTGCATGTCAGAGATGGGGAAAAGGTTTTGGATCTTTGCTCTGCCCCCGGGGGCAAAGCCATAGCCATAATGCAGTGTGCCAAACCAGGTAAATCAAAGGAAATAGCTCATTTATATTTGATTTTATTTATATGTATTAAAATAAAAATTGTGCATCTGTTCAGTATTTATAGTGATGAGAATACATCGATTTAAAGCTTTTTGATTTAATGTTAAGTATTGAAATCAGAGATTTATAATACTCAATATTAAAGTTTGATAAATCCACAAAGTCAAATATGAGGTTATACCTAATTAGAGTTATAAAGGGATGTTACACAATTTCTGTCAGGATGGGGAAAAGGACTTCATCACTAAAACATGTTGTGTCATTTTGTTCAGCTTAGTTTTGCATGAATTAGTTGTAGTGTATTCATTTTCTGTGATATGTTCCAGCACTTCTTTGCTGTAATGAACCGGACCCTCACAGAAGGGACTGGCTGAGCAGAACCCTGGAGTCTTTTCTGCCCCACTCACTGAACACCAGAGTGATTGTGTCTGCACAGGATGGATGCTATTTTGGGCAACACGAAGCAGGAACATATGACAAGGTGGGGCGAGACATGTTTATGACGGCATGTTAGTAAATCTTGCAGCAACATTGAAGTGTCACACTTCATTTTCAAGGTCATGGTTAGAAATGAATGAACAGCCTTTCAACAGACGCTAATAGGCTCAGAGGGAACTAAGAAAAGTGTTCATCAAAAATGAAACAAAGAAGAGGCGGAAATATGGGTTGGAGGAATCAAAGAACTCAAAGTGAGTGATAACAGCAAAATATAAAAAATATAAAGTACAGTCTCTAGAGTAAGTCAGTAAACAAAGATTGAGAAGTAAGGGGTAGCACAAGCAGACTGCACAGATTGAAGCTGTTTAGTGGTAGTGATGTTGCTCATTAAAGATTGGACACATTTTCTGGGAATATTCTCAATTTCTTCTCAGGTTATTGTCTAATGCAAACCATTTTGTTAAGATGGAAAAAGTGCATTTAGGAGACATTTTTCTTCAACCTGACTGGACTGTATTTTATTTCCTTTTTAATGCAGGTGTTGTGGGGGAAATACTGAGACTTGCATTATTTTACAGACCTCCTGCATGAATCTTTTGTTCTACTTTTACCTTTTTATTTATTTAAATATTCTTGCTCCTGCTCCTTCTCTTTCACTTTTTTATTTTTTAGAGTTATTTTGGGGCATTTATGCCTTTTACTCACATCAATAATGCTACACACTGTGTGTGTTTTTTTTAATAATAAGTCTTTCCACAAGTAGTAGTGCACATACCTGATATTATTCTATTATTGTATTTTTCTCTACCGTTATTTAACTGATGTACATATGTTTTATTTTTATTTTTATTTTTAATAATTTTATCCCCTTTTCCTGTTTTCTTGAGCTGCTGTAATACAAAAGTTTATCTTTATCTTTATCTTGATCTTTTATTTGGATAGGAAAGTGTATAGATTCGGAAACCAGGGAGAGAAAGGGGTTTGGCCGGGTAATGACATGCAGGAAAGGAACTTAAGGTCGTAACTGAACCCAGGCCACATGCTTCAAGGACAACAGCCTCTCTGTACATAGGGGCCTGGAATCTAACTACAAGGCCAACTGGCGCCCCCTCTTTTGCTCTTTGATCCTTCTTTCTCTTACTGACATTACACCATTGACCCCCTCAGACTCACAATTCATGCTCTCCTTCTGTTTCAGGTTTTAGTTGATGCTCCATGCTCAAATGACAGGAGCTGGTTGTATTCTAGCAGCAGCCAGCAGGGGGAACAGAGGCTAAAGGAAAGATCCAGGCTGCCTGCGCTCCAGGCTCAGCTGCTTAGGTAAACACTTTGTGAAAAAGGACGATTAAACATTTTATTTTAAAGAGCAATTATATTAAATTGTTTGGCAGTTATTTCTGGGGAAGCCCTCCTTAACATTGTTTATGGAAACTGCATTGCATATATCAGCTACACTATTAAATGTGTTGAGAGGAGATGACATGTAAATGTCAGATATATACAGTATAGAAATATATATTGGTGTACAACGTAATATAATGCTTCTATACAGCAGCATGTTATGATGTGCATTGTTTTTTCTCTTCCCCGCAGGTCTGCAATGTCAGCTGTGCGTCCAGGAGGTGTTGTGGTCTATTCAACCTGCACACTGTCCAGCTCTGAGAACTTCGCTGTTGTCGAGACAGTGCTGAATGATTGTCCTGAGGCTGAACTTGAAGACCTTTGGGAGGAGATTGCCATTCCTTTATCTAAATACTTTACATTTAGTCCTGCTCACCCAGATCATGGACAGACACTTCACAAGCCCCCCCTGCAGCCACAGAACAGTACTTTGTCTTCTTATCAACACAGACTTGGTATTTTAGTGGTGCCTCAGCCCGGCAAGACCTGGGGACCCATGTTTTTGTCTCGGATTAGAAGGAGAAAATAGTGTGTGTCCTCCTGTGCAGAGAAGATATTTTGGTACAAATGGATATAAACATAATAATTTTTATTTGTACTGCTGTTGTTACCTCTGGGTTCACCTCGTGGGACTGGATTGCAACTCACTCACACAACCACAAACAGTAAACTCTACAGCGCCAGCTTGAAATGCTTATAGAGGGAGCAATGAACAACAGCAGTACTTTAGAAAGGCAGATAAACATGTAGGTGTTGCTAAACAGGCAAAAATGGTCAACAGGTTTAATACTTGCGCATCTACATGACAATAAGTGATGCAATAAGTGATGAAGCTCCAGCTTTAAATGTAACTGCAGCTCTTCTTAGTGTGAGTGTAGCAAGATAGTGCTACATTTAAAATGTGTACTAGCATACTCAAAATAACAGAACATTGCTTCAATCATCCATACCTAGCTCCAATAAGACAGTGTGGAAGGACTCTCTTGAACCTAAAGAGAACAATCACCTGAACCTGCACTAAGTTCAGCTCACTGTTGAGCTGTTTGTCTCACACTTTGCTCTCATAGCAACATTCGAGCAGCAGCAGGCAAATGTTTGCACTGGGAAACTATCAGCAACTAAGCCTAATGTCTTCCTCAGCAGTTGGTAGAGACTAGAAACACAATAAAAGAGAGTGACTATTGTTCTCACACATGCCAGCTGCACATAAAAAAAACAGAACTCCAAATAAATGATAGTGTTGTTCCAAACTGTTCATAACAAATCAACTTAAACTGATGATGTGTGGTCACAACTTTTCTCAGCTGGCAAGAAATGATCAGTCATTTCAGCAGTATTTTTTTTTTTTTTGTGAGCACCAGACTTGATTCAAGTTATTGTTTATTTATTTTATTTATCTTTTATTGAGTTGGGCAACGATGGAAACTGCTCACACAGCAGAACTACAAATACAGGGTATTGATAAAAGCCATTTTCTATACCGCTTCACATACATAACACTGTCCACTTTGTATAATAAAATTGATAACACCCCAAGACTGCAATAGTCCGTGATATATGATGGTATCATTAATAATTCAGCCAGAGTTTATTTTATGAGGAGTGAAAGCTTATGGTGTGAGGCTAGGCTTCTAAATACTCTTTGAGCGGTCGTTAGAGAATGAGAGATGACATTAAAAGACCACCACGGACGCTCACAGTCAGAATCTCCTCCTCCCAGGCCTTAAGTCAGTGAATCAGGTTGTGTTCATTAAATTTTGATAGCTTCTTGACATGCAGTCATCACTGAATCTTTAAAAAGTTTCTATCTCTAGCCCCATGACTGATAATTTTATTAGCGAATATTTGTTTTAAATTATTTAAAGTGCCATAACTGTATCGCAAATGTATTCAGACTTGACGTACTCAACAGGAGGCTCAAAGTGTCCTGACTTGAGAGATTAGTTTAATAAGAGGGATATGATAACGTTAACATCGTTTCTCGTTCTTCATTCCTGTTATTCCCTTTCTGGATTGTCTAACTCTGAGTTAATTGGGCTCTAAGTGTCAGAAATATGTCACCAGACCTCCTGTCAGTTTAGGGCTGGTTAAAAATATCGATTCATCAATGCATTGCAATTCTTATTTTCCCAATTCAATATTGATATATTATATTTTTTTAGTTGTAATGACGCCCCTCTCCACTGGGGGCACTGTGAGTGCTGTGAATTCAGGCCAGGCACATTTGTGCACTTTACATACAGTTTTTGTCCAAGCCATTACAGCACTGTTATGTTTATGTTTATTAAAGAATAATGCAACGATAAAATGCATTTTTGAGTCAGTTTGTTCTAAACCTATACAAACAATGCACACATAATTATTTCAAAATATATCAGAAGGCACTGTGATGAGTTATCTGGGTATTCCTGTCATCTGTTTGTTTTATTAAATCGATATAAAATCAAAAGAATTGAAATGGTATTGAATTGTGAGGTTGTTGACCCAGCTCTACTTCAGTTTGATCTTGAAGGCAGTGTCATCTCTCATGACGGTTCATAGCTGAGTGGACTGTTAGTATGTCATTCTTCAGTGAAAAGGTTTTCATCAGGCTGTGATTGCTCAGAATAGAGGCAGAGGATGTTTTGAGTGTAACTGTGGACAATAATGCAGCAAAAGCAATACATTTTTTTGAACCTTTTGAACCTAACAGACTGACAAAGTATGTTGTTGCAAAGGCAGTTATGTGTGAAAACTCTTATCCAGTGTTTCTGAGTAAGCCGGTGAGACACTGTCAAAGATGAGATTGCTGAAATAGGAACGCTACAAGAGCCTCACACAGGTATCCCACAACAACCCTGTGTGTGTCATAGACACAAGCAATATTTGGTGAATGTCTATCCCTATTTTCATTGGCTGTCCTACTTTAACTCCACTTCTGCATGTCTCTGAAAAGTAGCCTCGGCCTCTGATACGAGTGCATCATTAAACAAACAGAACTTCAGAAGTAGCAAGATGTCGTGATGAAGTGGGGCTTCATTGGGGTTAACCATGTTGCTGACCTTTGTGTGAACTCTGGTTTGTTGATGTTCCCCCCATATTGCAGAGTTTCCTCAGGGGGAGAATCTCTAAGCAGCTTTTCCTGCACTTCAAAGGCAGGGAATGTAGGCCTGCTTTGCATAATCAGGTGGGGAACAGCTTTTTGCCAGAGAGGCAGGAATTAATTTGTGCCACCGCCAGATGTAATCATTAAAACTCCAGTCATCGACAATAAAGGGGGAGGAGGATGAGGAAATGGAGGAGGAATTTTAGAACAGAAGATGGAATGAGAAAGGGATGCAGAGCATAGGATGGTCCTGAATGCCAGAGGACTGTCTAGCTAAGTAGGCTAATCTGGCCTGAGCTCTGAGCCAGAATTCAATTTTTATCAGTCTGGTAACATTCAGCTCTGTCACTGTGTGTTTGGACATGTTGCCATGAGTTTAATCCTTACTTCCTACTCTTTTATTTGACATGTTCAATTTGAGTAGCATAGAAAATGATGAAAGGATTTGTAAAACCACAGATTTTAGGGGGGGCAGCTTTATATGCCAGCCATACCGAAAAGCCTGTTTGAATTATGTGTAGGTTTAAAAGCTCTACTCACTGCCTGTAAATGTAGGACTGTATATGGTTCACTTTCACTGCTCTCATTAACCCCAAGTTCCCAGCAGCACGCAGCGGTTTTCAGCGAAATAAGCTCTAAAACCCACTCAGCATCAAGCAGCGGACACAAAAAGTGAGTCATTACTTGTGAATAATTCTTAATGTTTCAGTGTACATTTCTGTCTGCCTTTATTATACACATTATGATAACTGACAAACAGAGTACTTTATAGGAAATCACAGATTTTTAAATAAAACTAATTCATGTGTAGCTAAACCCTACTCAAACTGACATTTCCCTCGTGTTAAAAATGTTTGACTCAAAGCATTTGACACTGAATGAGGTGGACGGTTGACAAGTGGGTGTATAGATTTAGTACCTTTTGGGGTATCCATCATTCATTTCAAACGTCATCGTTTGTCAATATTCCATCAGTGGGAGTGAGTAACCAGGACTGCTACTCTTGATTGATTGCACCACTACGGATCTCTGAGGGAAAAAGTCTGCAAAGCACACAAAAACATGAATTTTCATATTTGAAAGTTTTACCTAGAATGAATTATGAACAAGTCTGCCAAGAAAACCTGTAGTGGAAGGTAAAGATCCCTAAAAGAGATATTGTGGACAAGGAATGGGCCTTAGGAGTAGAACACACCTGGGATTCAATCCCCCCCCCAATTTTTTTTTATTTGCTTTTGCTACTCAAGTCATCATTTTGCCACCTTTGGCAAGATATGATATACAAGCAGCAAACTTGAAACCAGCACCTGTGACAGCTCAGAGAAAACCCAGAACATCTTAATTTGAAGTCTACGTGTTTCAGATGCATTACATAACTGCAGAATGAGTTTTTATTTAAGAACTCACAGAATTAAATTTCTTATTATGTCTTCTATGGCTTGGGGAGACATCAGGTACCATCAATGTCAGTGCACACAGACAACGCCAGAGGAAAATGAATGTGACAGGAGTTAGATACTGAAAGAACGTCAAGATAAAGGAGAGGAGCACAGACATCTTTATCCTTTCATGTGCCGTTTGTTTGTCACACACTCAGACTCGAAATGCAAGTGAAACTAAAGCAAAGACAAGTAAAGGTGTTTTTTGGTCTTGTTTTAAGGTTTACCTATGTGGGCAGTAAATTATGTTTGAAGATTCCAGCAAAACAACAACAAGTTAAACAAGAATCAAAAGCTGTCTTGTCTATCAGAAAAACTGCAACAAAAGTTTTCCTATTCTTCAAAACAGATTTTGAAGTCAAAAGGGAATATTAGGCAAAAGAAAGAAACTTTTTCAGACTCTCTGCAGTTAGACCAAGCAGAGATGTGTTGTTCTTGGTTGTTCCTCCTGAAGTCCTTTGTGAGCCCCAGCAGCTGCAGCGAAGGAGACATCCATAAATGCTGCACTGGAAGACAAAGCACAGGCTCAACAGACTGAAGGCAGGACAGATTACCTCTGCCTGGACATTCATTCGTCCTTTGAGGGAAAGACAGAATTGATTGGGAGGTATAAAACTAAAGCCTTGGACAGTCCAAAAGCCAAATGGAATTTACGAGGGAACTACCAGGTCTTTTCAGTTTTAAGTGTGACATAATCATCTTTCCACAAATGGAATGCAAATTGAAACAGAGTATCAGTAAAAATGGGCATGAATTATCCAATTTCAGGGTGTAAGTTTATACAAAGGACTGCTTGAACCATAACTTATCCAACATTGGTTCAAATCTTTTTAATCTGTGAAAGTAGCCTGAGAATCACAGTATGTTCTTCCACTTGGCAATCAGTGACTCACAAGATGAACCTGATGACCTGAAGCCTAACAGTCTTGAGTGGACAACTGTTTGCTTTGCAGATCCCTGCACCTTGTACGCAGGTGTAGTTATACAAGAATTTTTGAGGTGTTGATCTCTACTGTTTAATAAAGTAGAAAGTTAATGAATTAGTATTTTTATTGCCAGTTTTCTTCTGGTAGG